AAACAAACTTAAGTGTAAGGCCAGTGAATAAGTGGAGATTCTTCTGTTCATCTTCCCAGTGTATGATCTTTAAAGACAGTGTGGTAAATACACCAATGATCTTGTTTATACTATTGCATGAAAAAAAAAAAAAAAAAAAAAAAAACAAATGCATGGGAGAAAACAATGGAAAACTAGATTTAGAAATTAGAACCTGGGCCGGGGTATAGCTCAGCAGCAAAAACTAGAACCTGATCTTTTGTACAAAAAAAAAGTCTTGTGCTAGCTTCCTTATTTTACAATTTGAAGCACAAAGAATTAACCTTCAGTCATCGAACTGGGCAGGATTAGAGTACCCTCTCTGAATTCTAGCAAATAGCACTTGCCATTTTGTACTTAACCCTTAACTGAAATCTGTTATCAGGCATGATATTCTTCCCTGCCCATTCTCGGAGGAGGAGAGTTAGGTAGAAGCAAAGGTCATTTGTGGTAAAGGGGTATCTGTTGTCACTGGCTGCATTGAGGTTCAGTGGACCTCTTACCTCTGATCATCTCTTTTGTCAAAATGAAAGCACTCTTGCAACTGATACTGGTTCCTCTTTCAGTCTTGGCTTCAAGATTTTATCTTTGGAACAGTGCTGTCTTTAGCTGTGGAAGCTCAAAAAATTAAGAGTTCATAATATTAGATTGTACTCCATTTTATACTATCATATGTTTATAGTGCCCAGTTGACCAAGTTTATGGAGAGATCATCTTTTACAGTTGTTGTTAGTTAACTTTTAAATAAAAATTGTTACAGAACCTCCTAAAAAACAGGTTGGCTTTCATCAGTGTCATCAGAGGTACTAGATATTTATTATAGTAAAGCAGTGCCTGTTTCTGTTAAGTTATATTAATGGGTCTGATGAAAATATACAGAAATTTGTTAATTTCAAAAAAATTACTATGTTTAAAGACATGTTGCCATTAGTCCCCCTCTTGCTGCAAACACATTATGCTTGCCACTTTCTGAAGCAGCTTTGGAAGTCTTCTTTTATGATTGTCTTAATGATTTCTGATCAGAATGATGAATGCTACTACCAAATGCCATCCAACAGAAAGGCAGAGGTGTGAAAACATTACATTGTGTCTTCACCCATTTTATTTACTCACTGTATAGGCACGTGTGATTTCTGGCTCTTCCCCAAATTAAAAATCAGCATGAAAGGTAAACCTTTTAAATTGATTCATGACATTGCAGTGGCCAGGAGAGCACAATTAAAGATACTCATGGAAAGAGGTCTTTCAGAACTGCTTCGGCAAGCGGCAAGAACAGTGGATAAATGTGTTTTGAGGGGGGTTAGTGGCAGTGAATCTTTTATTGTAATGAATTTAAAATAATAAGATTCACTTTAGTTTTTAATCACAAGCATAACCTTATATTACTATGCCATGAATGCATGATAGAGCTTTAACATTTAGAAAGTTTGTTTTGTAAATAACAAATATAAATGAATGTCAAATCTTTAACATGATAATACTAATTCTACATTTTCTTAACCACTGAATGTTCATCTCCCTAATATTAAAAAATTAAAAGTGCTACTGGAGTTGTCAACATTATTCTATGAAAATGATGATTTTACTTTTTATTTTTTAAATATATGCTATGAACATCTATCTGCTTTATTCATCTATAATGTAACCTTATTTTCCGAAAAGAAAAATTAAGCATTTACTGAATTATTTTATTATATTAAAAGAGCACCTGTAATTCTTATCAAAGGGTGGTTTAGAAATGTCTGGTTTTCTTATGCATGGTATATATATATATATATATATATATATATATATATATATTTACATGGACAGCTTATAGCTACTAATATAAACTTATTACATTTCATATGTTAAAGTGTGGTTATAAACAGTTCTTGGATAATATTCTGAGGAGCCAGAAGTTTAGGTGGCAAATGGTTCACATATTTAGGTAATATATTTTGCAGACAGGGAGCTAGATAGGTACATAAATATATAGTTTTCAGGTAAGAACTGAAGTTACCAGTCTTTAACGTGTTCTTTTAAGAGTCATCAGTAACTGGTGTAAGTTATTAGATAAATGTATTGAATATTTCTTAGATGGGTGGAGCCTAAACGAAAAGTACAACGGGAAGATTAATGATTTCTGCTTTTGTCTTGAAGAATTAGTACTGTTTCTTGCTAAATAAGTTTGATTTAAAAATATTCACATATTTATATCTGCTTCAAGTCCATAAATGGAGTGAAGTAACTCTTTAAACTATTGTGTCTTACTGGTTTTCTTTTTTTCTACTTAAACTTTCCTCTTTGCACAGTCAGAAGATGATTAGAAATGTTTTAGACACCTCCTAGTTTCTGTGGTTTGTATGAAAAAGAAGTACTCCCGTTAATCTTTCAAAGATACCAACTAAAGTACATTAGTGTTTGTAAAAATTTAGTCAGTATTAAATATGATTTTCTTAATTCTTTGGTTAAAGATCTATAGTAGGATAATTGTTAATTATGCCTGTTTTCATAGTTGTCTAGAGTATTGTAAATTTTAATTGTAACCCACCATAAGGGTAGGATTGGGAAAATGGAAACTCATTTTTGTTCATAGTATCGTAGGGTAGTTGTTGCCAGTATCTTTCTTTTTAAAATGCTGTTTGAATCTGTTTCCACACCATATAGTTAAGGAATTTTGTGGCACGGGCAAATCAAATTTCAGAGAACAGTTAGTGACAACTTTACCTTAGGCAACTTTAGTTTTAAAAATTTCTTACGAAGTTCTACTTTTTGTAGAATTGGAAGTTTTTAAGTAGGAAAGATATATTCCATTTATTATTGAGTTTCCATATTGCAATATAAGCACTGTCCACACTCACTGGATTTTGCTTCATTTCATTCCCTGGTCTTCATTTCACTCCCAGCAGAGTACAAATAGTTAAGATTGTCTGAAGGGATGAAAAACCGTCTTAAGGAAACAAGCAGCCTTGGCCCTCCCTCCTTCCCTTTCTCAACCCTTCTCTCGCTTCCTCTTATGGTTTTGCTAATGGCAGCTCAAAGCTGTTGCGCTCTGCCCTGCCCACATGAGCCCCTCCTTCTGTGAGAGCACATTTCCTGGCATGGGGGCCACATCATGTCGGTAAAATGGGGTCGGCTGTCTGAAGTACCCCTGATAACAGTGAGATTCCCAGGACAAAAGTATGGGCAGGTAAGGAGGTGACTTCTCTAAAGCACTGAAATCTGACAAAAATAGAAAGAGCAGTGTAATTGGTGTGTTATGTTGTTGTCTTTGGAAGAATAATTTTGGATTGTTTCAAAGGATGAAGAAATTATTTATTATTCAGACTTGAAGAGCATTGCAGAGAACGAAAGAATAGTTGTAGCTTTCTTGACTATTGGCGCATGTTTTAACCTTCTTAAGCAAAAAAGGCAGATGTTTTTAGTTTAAAATATTTTACATGAGAAAATCTTCAGCAAAATTTAGTGGAAATGAAGTTATTTTGAAAAACACAAATTTTTATTCATATCTGTTGGAGTCTTATGTACGTAGGCAGTTAATTGATTTTCACTTTGAACAGTTTCCTGTTTTATAAAGTGAAACAGTTTGCTTTTCTCTCAATATTTTGTATACTTTAAGACTAGCACCTTGGCTTTTAAATTCTACATGTAGTTTTTTGTAAACAAGGGACTTCACGTGAATCTTAAGTTTTAGGAAGTGTTTACCATTTTAGTATAGTGGACTGGTTTTTAGCAGAAAATGCTTTATGGTCTCTTTGCTTTATAATACAGTATCAAAGTGAGGGAAGGCTGAGTTGGTCAGCCAGATCTGGATTTTAATTCTACTGTGTGTATTGTTGGTATGTGACTGCTAGTATGTTTTTGAACATCTCTAAGCCTCAGCCTCTTCAGATGTAAAATGGATATAAGTAGTATTTGATTCATTGAGTTGTTAGAAAATTCTTATAAATTGCTTATTATGTTTTACCATATACTGAATACTGTAACCATTCAGTATTTAGCTAGCTTTAAAAAAAAATGCAAGTACAATGCCTGGCTTTCTCACTTTTGAGTTATTGGATCATATTAAGTAATTAAAAAAAAAAGAAAGCATTAACTTAAAATGTAAGGCATCAAGTAGTATCATGATAACTAACTTTTAATTGCCCATTTTCCAGGTATTTTTCTAGGTTGTAACAGTAGTATATATGGCAAACCAGAAACTCTTAAACCTCTGTTGAGCTTCTTGGTGGTCCAGTTGATTTGAAAGGAAATTGTTAGATTGATTTTGATTAGCTAGCCAAATTCTTTGCCAAACAGTGTTTTCAAAGAACTCTTTATGAAGAGCATTATCTCCATATACCTGGATGCATAAATGCCCCAGACTTTTGTTTAGATGTTTATTCAAGGACCTAACACTCTTAGGTATTTCTTCAACTTTTTCAGATTTAAATTCTTTTTTGTTCATTTTCATACATAATAAGCATGAAACTTATGAGCATGAAACTCAGATGCAACTCCTTTGGTCTGTCTACAAATCATTTCAGGTTTCTATAGTGTCCTGAGGTGACAAAGTGAGAAGTCTGGTACCCAGACCTCCTTACTCCCAGTCCTAGCCACCTCTTCCCACTGGATTTAGTCACTTCTGTTCCAGTCAGTGTCTTGGAGCTGTGTACAGTACATGGTACAACCTTAGTCACTAGAGTGCACCTACTTGGCTGAGTGTATAGTAAACATTACATAAACATCAGTTTTCTAGTTCCCTTGGACAGGTAAGGGAGGATCACCAGAAGTGGAGGTAGCTTTCACAGTAGAGAGTGGGGAGCAGGTCTTGGAATCTTAGTTACTTTAAACCAGAGGCACTGCCTATTTTTCCTATCTTTCTGGGCCTTGATGCAGAGGAGTTAGTGTCAAAGCCTTGGGACTTCCTTTTTCTGGGTCCCCATTTTCTTGAAGTTGCCGTTATGATGGAACTAGCTTGAGACCAAGACAGTAGTTTCCTTTCTTTTTCATGCTTTCTGTCCGCTCTGCTTGGCACCAGCACCCTTTTGCTACTCCTTAGTTTTTTCTCCCATCTCAAATCAAAATGTCTTTCCCTTCATTACAGGGAAAGATATTTCTCTGTTGAGTTAGGAGAGTAATCTAATAAAACTTATTCTCAGTGAGGCATGAATAATTATTATAACAGCTATTGTTAAATGATGTTGCTTATTCAACTATGTGGCAGGCACTGTGCAACATGCTTGCCATATATTTCACATTATTAAAATGTTAGTACATGTTGACAGTACAAAATGATTGTTAATCTTGAGGATTTGACATGTGTACATAAAACAGCTTAATTTGTTTTACTTTCACTCTTCCCCTCCCCTTCCATCTATTTCACTTAATTTTAAAAAATAAATGCATATTTTTAACTGAACTTATAATTTGTGTATTTATAACCACACATTTGAATGTTTGTATGTATGTATGAAAAGAGCCACTCGAGGGCTGGGTAGATAGTTCAGTGGTTTAAGTGCCTGCCTAGTGAGCGCAAGGTCCCCACTACTGGGGAAAAAAAAAAAAAAAAAATCCAGTAAGGAAACTGAGACCTAGACAATAATCTGTCCAAGGTTACTTCATTAACAAGTAGTAGTGGTAGAGCTTAGATCCGAACCTGAGCGTGACTCCATTGTCCGTATTTTTAAGCACCCTGTAATTTTCATCTCTTCCCCACACCATCTATTCTTACCAGTTTGGACATTCTTCTGCTGTCTGCCTAAAGTTGACCCTAAACTGCTTGTTTCCTTCCAATGCAGATGGTGCTGCATGTTACAGAGAATACCCCTTACCTAGCACTACAGGCCTCTTTCTAGTGTCTTTGAGCATTGTGTCTTGCAGTATAAATCACCCCCAAATGAACCTCTGCCAGAACTGTCCAGTTTTTGTATGATTTTTCTGATGTAGCTTGCCCTTTCATAAGTTAATAATAAAAAGATTGCCGGGGCCCGGGAGATGGTTCAGTGGAATAAGCGCTTCCCTGCCAAGTGCCAGAGTCTAAGCTCAATCCCTGGTTCTGCAAAAAAAATAAATTAAATTAAAATTAATTAAATAAATAAATAAAATGATTGCCTGAACATTGTGTCTCACTTTTGTCCAAAGATTCATCAACCACTGTTGACCACATGCCACCTAGGTATTCAGGTAAAGAGGCCTTCCATTGTTCAATTAATTGTTGATACTTTTCTTTGGCAGGAGAAAGAAAAAGAGAAAGAGAAAATTAAGGAGAAGGAGAAAGATTCTAAAGAGAAGGAGAAAGACAAGAAAACTGTCAATGGGCACACTTTCAGTTCCATTCCTATTGTGGGTCCCATCAGCTGTACCCACTGCATGAAACCTTTTACCAACAAAGACGCCTACACTTGTGCAAGTAAGAGTCATGCTTCTTCCTCTCTCTTACATGAGCCTGTTGTGGCTCAGGAAAGTTGGTTTCTAGTTTCCTGTCCACGCCATCACTTATCTGTTCCTCATATATGTGGAGAAGTAGCTGTGTTTGTGTTTTCCTTAATCATTTGATGAAATTATTTCTAGATGCATAATATGGCCTATAATGTTTTTCAGATAGTTTCAATGTTCTGTTGCCCGTGAACCACAATTTATTTCAGAACAAGTATGTCAGCATCATAGCCTCAAACCCCATGGTGCCCAGCAATTTCTTGTCAGATCAAGTATGCTTATTTTTATTTTTTTAATTAATTAATTAATTAATTAATTAATTAATTTATTTGGTATAGGGTCTTGCTATGCAGCTTGGACTCATAGTGATCCTCCTGTCTCAGCCTCTCCATTGCTGGTATTATAGGCATGTGCCACCGCACCTGGTTCCAGGGCCAGCACATACTTCGTGAGGGCACCATAGTTTGTCACTGCAATGTGTGCTCAACCACCAGAGATCTGGTAGAATTGTTGGAGACTTCCACTGTTCAAGGATAATGGAGCAGCACCTAGAAAGTCTCTTGGGGTGGGGGGGCAGTCTAGTACTGATTAAGAAAAACTACAGGAAAGAGGTATTTGATTCAGGATTTCAAATTCTCAGCCACATCTATGTAATAACCACATAGTTTAATAGGGAGTGGGTGGTTGCCAGGGTATACCTTGTTTTTAATTTATATATATTTAAATCAGTTTCTATTCTCATTAGACTTCAGTTGAGCTCAGAATCCTATGATAGATTTTTGGTCAAGTTGTTTCTGTTAGAGTAGTGATTTGAAAAAACATTTACTTAAAAATTCTTTGCAAGAAAAGAATGAAATAGTCCACCATACAGTTTCATTTCCTGTTGGATATTTTACAGTGTACTGTTACCATTAGCCAGTCTTTTGCTATCAAATGACCGTTTGAGATGAACAGTTCAGAAACCCTTCTTCCACCACCAGTTCACACCAGTAGACAGTAGGAGTAATATTCATAGAGCCTTGTGAGCTTTCTGGGCAGATTTCCTGAGCTTGCTAGCTTCAGCAGCCTTTTTGACAACTGCATTGAAAATACCCACAGTAGTTGTCTACATTATGCCACTGACAGTAGTCAACCTAAAAGTCACAGAAGTTTGATACCTATAACCTTGCCAGGAACCATATACATCTATGGCATCATCACCAAATTGTAAGAATTTAGGGTGGTTTCCTACCTGCTTACCGTAACAGTGATTAGTTTTCCTTGAGCTTAGCAAAATTTGAAACAGTGTGAGCTCTGACAACTCAGGACAGAAGCAGAGCTGGCATTTGGCTTTGTATATGTAAAGCATAGATTTAAAAATACATTTGGCTGGATGACTCAGGATAATCACCTGAGCCGTACGGGCAGCTGCTTCCATTGACAAATCATTATCAGTGTTCCCAGCAGCATTGCCACAACAAGCATCTTTGATAGATGCATTCTTGAAATTAATGCCCACAGTTTCCCCAGGATGAGCTTCACTCAAAGCATGATGGCACACTCCGTCTAAGTTATGTTGACTAGGACAAAGATGACCACCATGCCACATTTGAGAACACTAGTTTTAATCTTGCTTTTTTATTTTATTTATTTATTTTATGTATTTGGTACAGGGTTTCACTACGCAGCTTGGACTTGTAGTGATCCTCCTGTTTTCAGCCTCCCGAGCACTGGGATTACAGGCATGCGCCACCATACCCGGCCTTGGTGGGCAGCTCAGCGCAACCTGTGGTGTGGCTTGTGGTGTGGGGATCAGACCGCACTTAGGCAAGGTGTTTAGTCCATTCTTGCCCATCCTTAATCTTGCATTTTAAACATAGCCTTAAAGGCATCACTACCAAATTTTCTTATCAGCCCATTATCTTTGTTATTAGTCTACTTATTTATATTTTTACTTGTCTTTAAATATAGTAATTAAAGGAGACCATGGTTACAAAGTAAACCATTTTTTTACAAGATTCCTAATATTTGTTTTATATATATGAATAAAAATGTTTTCTGTATCATGTACTTAAATATAAACAAAAGTTTTCACATTTCATAGTGGCATTAGTGCAGCATGCCTCTTAAACAAAGAAAGAGGAAGGAAAGAAATCAAGAGATCTGAAAGCAAAGGAACAGTGTGCGTTTATCTTCCCAAAAGAGGAAAAGCAATTGGCTGATTCTCCTGGCTTCCTAAAGAACAGTCTGTAGTGCATATTTGCATGTGTGAAGCCACAGCTGTTGTCTTGCCCGGAAGTGGAAAACATGAGTAACTTTGGGACTCAGAATCTTTTATCCTTTCCCCTGCATCTCTTGTGTTTAGTTTTTGCAGGAGTCTCAGGAAATGTATCGTCACTGCAGTACATCTTCTACCTTCTATGAAACCATTGTGCTCGTAGAACAAAGTAGCTTTCCTTTTTGTAACAGAAAGCCTGTTTCATTGACCTTTGGAAGGAACTTCATATCCCAGGCAACTCTCAGTCAGTTCTTGACTCTTGGTTTAGAAAAACAAGTGCTATGTAGCCCATCAAAATGATGTGTTATGATGCTTTATATTGACTTTCTTCTGTCTCCTGCTGCTTTAATATATCCATCTGCATGCAGATACTAAGAGAGATTGAACAGGGTGGACTGTCTTAAATCAGCATTTCTGATGCCATTGGATTACAGCTGGACCATTCTGAAATCACAGTGTTAAAAACTATGGAAATTGGGCTAGTGAGATAGCTCAGTGAACTAAGCGCCTGCTTAGGCAAGTGCAGGGACCAGGGTTTCATCCTCCATACTGCCCAGATGCTGGCCCCGCCCCCCAGCATGCTGAGTCTGGGACAGTGTCTAGATGTGATTGTGCGTGCCTATAATCCTAGTACTAGGGAGGCGGCAAACAGGAAGATCAATAAGAGTCTGAGCTGCATAATGAGATCCGGTACGAAGCACAATTAAAAAAAAAAAAAAAAAAAAAAAAAAATGTGGAAATCACCAGGATCAGAGACACTAAAAATAGCAAGCCACAAGACATCAATGTAACTCCCTTGCAGTGTGCTCCTGGATTTAAAAAAAAAAAAAAAAGGTGGAAGCGAAGCCCAAAGTTTATTGTGAGGACTATTTGAAAATAATTTTGGAAAAACATGGAGGATTTTCTTTTCCTTAGCCCAAACTAAAGTCCTGGTTTAGAATTAAGTGGCTTCAGTGACGGGAAACAAGGAGTATCTTTCCAGTTGTTTCTTCTTTATTATGTAAAGCTGTCCTCAACATAATTAGCTATTCTTTTTAGCTGCCACAAATAGTTTAGTTTGTGGAAAGCTTGGTAGAGTCCTTCAGAATGAGGAATTTGTTGGTTCAAATGTTGGAGTATTGCTGGTGGTTTTCTTTTGTTTTCTTTAAACAGATGTAAAACGATACTGAGATTTTTTTCTTTCTGTTGCGTTAGCAGTTTCTGAATACTTTTGTGGTAGTTTGTTTCTTTTGATTAAAAAAATAAACAAGTAGTGGCCTAAGTAGGAAACACAAGAATTTAGAGTGTCATTGTTGGTTGGATTTTGCTTTGGAAAAGCAGCTCTTGAGTTAGACAATTTTCTGGCATTTAGAGTTAAATGCTTATATGAGATAGTGAAATATATGTAATTGATTGAAGAAAAGAAGTTTGTTATTTAGGGAAAAGGGGGGCGAATGCAGAACTTGAGCAGTTCTTATTTAAGTTAAGCTGTTTTTATTTTATTTTGTTTTTATTTACCAGTGTTCTTATGAAAGCTGCTTGTACAAGCACTTCGGCCAAGATGGCTTGGCTCTCTTTTTGTGGCTTTCCTCTTCTATGCATCAGCACTGCGGTTATTACACCAGCTACCAAGAACATCTCAAATGCTTTTGCATGAATTACATCAGTGCAGACCAGGCAGTTTCTCACGTTCTCTTAAGGATTTTAAACAAGAATTGAAGAATTTCGGAGCATGTAGTTCTGAGTTGCTCATATTTAAATGTTCTTTGCTTTTTCATTTTCTTGGTTAGGGTTGGAATGATAGAAAGAAGTTAAACTTTTTTGTCCTTGAACGTAATTCTTCACTTTGTCTCCTTAGGAAGAAGCAGATCATTTTTTTTCCAAGTAGTGGTCACATCTAGTAGACAAAATGTCAGACTCAACACATTCTCTAATTCTCATCAGTACACTATCAAAACCCCTTTCTTAAGAGAACTTAGCTCAGGAAAGGTGACTCTTCCCTTAAATAGACATGTTAGTTCAGTTTTGCATACCTGGTTTCCTCAAGCTGATTTTCTTAAGTGTTTCTTTTTGTTTGTTTTCTGCTGAAAAAGGAAGAATGCATAGTAAATGCCTGTTCACCAAGTGTCAATGGCACTTTGTGGTGGAGTTTTTTTTAAGAATAGCAACAGATAGATGATAGTTCCCAGTCATGGATTTTGCTCCATTATCTTTTGTTTGATGCCTTCTTGTAGCAAAAAGAAAAAATGCAGTTGAAGGCTGGGCTTATTTGCTTTTAAATTCAGAAGAATCTAATTAGAAATGAACTTTCTTCCCATAAGCTGCTGTGCTGAGATCTTTCTGAATTTTTGAAAAATGAAAACATGTTGCTTATTGCTATTAGGAAATCTTTAAATAAATAAAAGGCTAGATAATCTTCTTTGGTCATCCTAACAGGACAGATGGTTTATGGCAGAGAGTTTAAAAATATGCTAATCTTTACTTCCTGTGTTGTTGGTAATTGTCTGTTTTCCAAAACAGAGAATAGCTTTAATCCAGTGTCTTTGGCTGATGTCACTAGGGCCCAATATTTATAAATTACCTACGCAGATTGAGTGCAGGACCATTTGGTAACAAGTTCAGTGGTTTTCAAGTACTTAAGTATGTTAAGCAAATGTCCGTATAAGCTATTAATCAGTGAGATTTATGATCATAATATAGAGAAATTGAAGTTTCATTTGGGTTGTAGATTTAGAGGCATGTCCCAGTAAACTGAAAACTATATTTGAGAGAGGGTCTTGTTATATAGCCCAGGCTGGTCTTGAACTCACAGCCTTATCTTCCTGAGTATTAAGATTGCAGACTTGTGCCATCAGGCCCACTATGAAAACAGTTTTATGTGAAAAACTATTAGAAGCATATTTGATGATACAGCACAGGGAATTGCTTTCTGTATTTCACTGCCCTTAGATCCCAAAAACTGCTGGTTTGTTTAAAAGTAATAGTGCCTCTCTCGAAGATTGCTGTTGCTAAATTTCAGTAGGGTATTGAAACTTGCCATGAAGAAGAGAATGAGGATATAGTTTGAAAACAAGTTCTTTTCGTAGTGTTCTTGTTGGTTTTATGAGATCAAAATTAGTGGCAAGTTCTCAAGCAAATCTCCCACTCTGTTGTTGCACTTGGTATCAATAATAGATTTTCTTTTTTTTCCATTAACTTTATTGAAAATCAATAATTACATATTAAAAATTGTAGACAAATGTTGAAATGTGAAAGATATGCAGAAGAGTGATTTTTAGAAAAATATTTCTGAAATGAAAGCATCACATGAGATTAATAGATGGCACACTGTAAATAATTTACAAACTTAAATGAATATAACAATAAAAATTGTCCAAAATGAAAATGAAGAAGAGGGGCCAGGGAGATGGCTCAGTGGAATAAGCACTTCCCTGACAAGCAAGGGTCTGAGTTCAATCTCCAGTTCCACCAAAAAGAAAAAAAGAAGAAAGGAGGAAAGAAATCACAGATCAGTCATGTAATAGTTCACTCTGTATCAAAATCAAGAAACTTATATTCATATAATTAGAATCTCAAAGTAGAAAGGGGTAGGCACCAAATATTTAAAGATTTAAAATTTATGAATTTACTTGAACTTTTAACACCACATTTCCAAGAAAAATGAACCTTTTGCATAAGAAATTTGAATAAAATCATACCAAAATACACAAAAATGAAATTGTCTAAAACTTGTAAAAAAATCATTAAATCATATACATAAAACATTAGCTTTCAAAGAACAAAATTAAATAGCATCTTATTCCACATTAGAAAGAAAAAAAAAAAAAAAAAAGACAAGTATGTTAGAAACTAGACTAAAGGACTGAAAGAAAAAAAAAATCTGACCTCTCTGAATTTTATATTTAGCAAACATACTTTTAAAAACTAAAAGTAAAATATTTTCCAGATATACAAACTTGACATATTCTAATACCTCCAGATGTAGGATATAGGAAATAACAAAGAGCAAAATTCAAAAGGCAAGAGAAGTTGTAGTATGCTCCAGGATGAACAATAAAGAGTTCTCAAAATGATAGTTATACAGGACTATATAAAATATATTAGATGAACCCTTATTTAAAAGGTCAGCTGGGGAGATGGCTCAGTGGAATAAGCACTTCCCTGGCAAGCGCAAGGGCCTGAGTTCAATCCCCAGTTCTGCCAAAAATAAATAAATAAAAATAAAAGGTCATTAAAGATTTCTATGAAACAGTGCCAATCTTATGTCGGGTTACACACATTATTTTTTAATATGTATGTGTGTGTATATGTGTATAAAAGACAGTTAAGTAATATAAAGTCAACGGAAAATGGAAATATACTTTTTAAAGTTTCTAATACTGGGCTGGTGAGATGGCTCAGTGGTCTAAAGCACCTACTTAGAACAAGCTAAGCTAAGCAAAGCACAGGGACTGCAGTTCAATCCCCCAGCACCACATGCCAGCCAGCCCCGCCCCCTGGTGGGCTGAGCTGGCCACACACACAAAATAAATGAAATAAAATAAATAAATAATTCAAATGTCAAAGGGGGGGGAAGTTTCTAATACTAAGAGAAGATATACTATGTCTTTTAAATAAATTGTTAGTCAAAGATATAGTATAAATCCTAAAACAAAAATTACGATTAAGCAATATTCAGAAAATTAAATACTAATTAATTAAAAATTAAATGTTTCAGAACAGTTCAACTAAGAAAAAGTTTTCATGATAGTAAAAAAGTACTAAGAATAAAACATAAGATAAATACTGAATGGCAAATAAATGACTAGCACTTCTAACAGTTTGGGGATAGGATATCGCACAAAGTTCTGGTGTGCTGTAGACATGGATAATTTCTATGGCACTTGATGTTGGCCAGGTGTCACTTGTGGGACTGAGCTGCTGCTATTTCCTTGAAATCCACCCTGTAGACCCAGATGGAATCATGACCCATAGGGTGCAGGAGAAGTCCATTTGTAGAGTGTGTTGATGGAAATACTTTGCTGCTGTACACAAAAGAATAACTGAGGGGCTGGTGAGATTGCTCATTGGTCTAAAGCACCTATTTAGAACAAGCTTATGGGCTGGTGAGATGGCTCAGTGGTCTAAAGCACCTACTTAGAACAAGCTTAGCAAAGCATAGGGACCGCGGTTCAATCCCCCAGCACCACATGCCAGCCAGCCCCGCCCCCTGGTGGGCTGAGCTGGCCACACACACACACACACACACACACACACACACACAAATAAATAAATAAAATTAAAAAAAAAAAAAGAATAACTGAAAGACTACTTTTGTATACCTCTCATTCTCCTGTGTTTGTTTGCCCTATTTGGTGGGTTCTTTCCATTCTCATTCATGGAGTTGTGGTCATTTTGCTCTCTTTCTAGAACATCATTTAGTAATTTGTGTAGGCTTGGCTTTGTCATCATGAAATTGTTTAGTTGTTCCTTGTTATGGAAGTATTTCACTTCTCCATTATACTTGAAAGAGAGTTTTGCAGGATATATCAGTCTGGGTTGGAATTTGTTTTCTTGCAAGTCTTGAAGTACTTTGCTCCATGCTCTTCTTGTCTTGATGGTTTGTGAAGAGAAATCTGCTGTTATTCTGATGGGTTTTCCTTTAAACGTGATCTGTTTCTTTTCTCTAGCAGCTTTTAGTATACTGTTCCTGTGCTGAATTTCTGGGATCTTGATTATTTTATGTCTGGGTGTAGTTTTAATTGGGTTGATATTATTTGGAGTTCTATCTGCTTCGGTTACCTGAATGTCACATAGTTTCCCCATATTTGGGAAGTTTTCTGCTATTACTTCTGCCCATATTCTTTTTATATCATTTGTATTGACTCCTTCCTTCTCATTGATGCCTATTAGTCTCACATTGTTCATCTTTGCATCGTCTTGCAGGTATTGAATTAGTTTTTCCTGCATCCTAATTGTTTTTAAGAGATCTTTTCTTACCTTTTCACTAGCTTGCAATGGTGTCTTTAAGGTCTGAAAGCCTAATTTCACTTTCATTCAAATGGTTTTGCCAGCTTGCAATTGAGGTTTTTATTTCCTGTATATCATTTTGAACCTGTTTTATGCATTCTATTTCTTTCCTATATTGTCTATTCAAGGATTCCATCATTTTTATATTCTGCTCTATTTTTTTAATCAGTGTCCTCTTTAGAAGCACTTAGTACTTCTTTCATTATAGTTATCATTTCTTTTTTTACTTTAGAAATTATATCTGATCTGATTTCCTCTATACCTTTCTGCAGTTGTTTCTTTACTTCCAACGCTATTATTTCAGAGATTTCAGGTATGTGATTCCCAATTTCTTCTATGCTAGTGTGTTCTGCATTTGTTCTGGGAGGACTCAGTGCCTGAGACTGCATTTTGATCCTTCTCTTTATCATTTTGTATACAACTGTCTTCTGACCTTTGGTGTAGAGCTTAGATAGAGTTATTACCTTAGCACCAGGTCCAGATCTACGAAGTTCAGACTCCTCTAGGTGGGTGTGGCTTGGGTCTGGCTGCTGTGCTCCACTTCTTCCTGCTGCAGCCCTTGGAGGTGAACCTTCTATGCCACTCTGGCAAGGTGTTCTGTTCCTAAATCAGCTGAGTGGGTCTTGCCTCTAACCTCTTTGCAGGGAGTTCTGCTGAGGGGGTTCCATGCCGGGCCTGGGCTCTGGGTCGAATGAGGATCTGGCGGGCCCAAGGTCATCTCACTCACACCCTGGGCCCAGGCTCTGAGTCAAATCAGGATCCGTTCGGCCCCGGGTTGTCTCATTCACACACAGGGCCTGGGCTCTGGGTCAAATGAGGATCCGGCAGGCCCCAGGTGGTCTCACACACTGGGTCTGTGCTCTGGGTTGACTTCAATAATAGATTTTCAATAAACCAAAAGGGAAAAATGCACTTTTATAATAATGAAACCTAATTAAAAATCATTTTCAGGCTGTGGAGATAACTAAGTGGTCTAAGCGCCTGCCTGGCAAGCACAAGGTCCCTGCTTAAGCCCGTGGTATTGGGTATCACATGCCTGCTTCCTAGAAGAGGATAGCACATTGTATCTGCAGCTTATAATGACATTCTTCTGCATAAGTGACTTTACTTGGAAACCCGTAGGCATCAGTGGCAGAAATTCAGAATCTAGAGTCTATTTGTTGCTTTGTTGTGACCTTGGGTTTTCCTTTCTTTTCAGATTGCAGTGCTTTTGTTCATAAAAACTGTAGAGAAAGTCTGGCCTCCTGTGCAAAGATCAAAATGAAGGTAAGACATTTGTAGCTACAAGAGTTTAAATAAAAACCTTTAGATTAAACAGAGTTAAAATAAGAGGGTTGTATGTGGGGGTGTAGATGTGGGTGTGGGTGTTGGTTTTTGTTTTGTTTTGTTTTGTTTTGTTTTATTTTGTTTTGCAGTACCGGGGATTGAACTTAGGACCCTGCGCTTGCCAGGCAAGCATTTATTCTACTGAGCTATCTCCCTGGCCCCAGTAAGAGGGTTTAAACTAACAAAATCCTTGGGAATTGATAGTTGAGGTTTCTTGTTTTTATTTATTCATTTGGTACCAATTTTGAGACCAGCATGTTTTTCAAAAATTATCAGTAATCAGTTTTAACACACTCATGAACTTGAGACTTAAAAAAAACTCTGAGTTTCTTCATGTTAAATATACTTCTTTCTGTGATCTTAATATTTGTATTGCTCTTTTTAAAAAATTTTTATTAGTACATCTGCAGTACATGATTATAGTGATTGTGAGTTGGCACACATACATAAGACATCTTATTTCATTATTTGTGGCTTTTTAAAAACCATGTCTGCAAACCTATTTTGCTGTTCACATTGTTTATTTGGGACCATGAGAGCAGCAGATAGAAATCAGGAGCTTGTGATATACTGATGAACAGAGGGCTGCTCTGTTTAGACTCATCTTGTCTGTCTCACTTTTTTTCACAAGTGGTGGCTGGTACTTGCTCTGAGTATGTTATATAGTAATGAACACTGATTTTCTGGGGGCTCTTAAAGGAAAAGTTGGGAGCTGTGGATATATGTCTGTGGAAGACCATTTGCCTCGCACAGGCAAGGCCCTGTGTTCAGTTCCCTGCACTGAGGGAACTACCAGGCTTGGGGGCATACTTTTTAGATAGCTTGTGTGTTTTGTCACCCCTAAATAACTTTCCATTCATGTCAGAGAGACTTTCCAGCTGTGTCTTCCCAAACACACAGTGTGTATGAGTCATCCATAATCAGATACACCTATCTGAAACAGTGGCATCAGTCTTGAGTGTGTATCAGCATCACCTCCAGGGCTTACAAAAAAGAAATTCTGAAATAGAGCCCAGGAATTTGTATATCTTGATAAGTTCCTAGATGATGCTGATAGTCCTTGACTTGACTTTGGGAAGCACTAAACTACCATAAAGAAGGCAGACTTCTGTAACCCAGACTTACTTGGTCTACAGTCATGTATTTTATTTGCCTCATGAAATATGTTTGGTTATTTTTTTATTTTGAGGTAATGCATTTATTTAAAAGTCCTACTTTGTATCATTTTGAGTTTGTAATTTCTCCTGGAAAGCTGGAAGGCCTTATAAGCCTGGTTCACTGGTATTTCCCATCACCCAGCATTTCCTTTTTTTTTTTTTTTTTTTTTGGTGCCGGGGATTGAACTTGGGACCTTGTGCTTACCAGGTTGCTGAGCTATCTCCCCAGTCCCCCAATTCTCTTATCCTACCATCTCTTTCTTTTTTTTTTCCATAGTATTTACCATCTCTACTTTCGTTTAGTAAATTTATTTTTTTTTATTATCTGTACCTTTCTCTTATCTAAAATATAAGCCCCAGACTCACTAGCCAGCCTGAAACAGGCATCTTTGATTCATTATATTCTGAGGAGGGAAAAAAATACTCTGAGAACCTAGCATGTCAGGCTTATTCATCCATAAATATTAGAAGGATGAATGACAAAAAGTCATCAGCTGGACCTGTGCATCTGCTGCCTCTTTTTACACAAAAGCACATACAAGTTCTATATTATTTCCTTCCCCACTTCTGATATTTGTTAGCTTCCTTGGTCTGCAGTAGTTGAGTTCATGTCTTATAAAATTTATTGCTCTTATGAACATACTGAGCTCTAAAATGATGATGTAATAGTAGTATTGCCTGCATGTAAATGTATAACCTAAATGAATTCATTTTAAATTGGAAGCAACCTGTTTTCTCTAATGAGTTGTTCAATTAAAATGCTACAGTCTATAATTTCTTGGTTTTTTAATGACAGTAAGGATTGGATTTAAGGTCTTTACAGTGAGCTATAATCTCAAGCCTTTTTCTTTTATTTCTGAGCCAGGATCTCCCTAAGTTACTCAAGCTGGTATTGGTTTTTTTGGCTTTTTCTGGGAGTACCAAGGATTGAACTCAGGACATTTCCCTTGCCAAGCAGGTGCTTATGCCACTGAGCTATCTCCTCGACCCTCAGGCTAGTCGTGAAGTTGTGGTAGTCCTCACTCCACCTCTGCAGAGTACTGAGCTTACAGAAATTTGACACCAAACCTGACTTACAATTTTATTTTATTTTGAAGAGTAAAAACAAATAGAAAAAAAGACAGAAAAAGGGTAACGTACAACAGTACATATGCTACAGATTTTCAAAGCAGGAACAGCTAATTAACAATAGTTATATTGTCTATTTTTATCATCAAATCTATATATTAACAGATATAGCTATGCAAAATTGCGGAAAGAATTGAATATTGGTACTTGCTTTCAAGAAATCTTAATTTTTTTTCCTTGTTTTTTGTTTTAATTTATTTTAAGGAGAGTATAATAATTGATAAGACATTAGAAATGGTAACATTTAGAAGGCCAAGGTGAGAAGTAGTCAGCCATGGGTTTTGTATTACACATTGCTGTCCTAGATGTTGGCTTATAATTTCTTGAAGTATTTTTTATATAAGATAGAAGTGTTACCTAAATTGAGCATTTTACCGAAGAGTTTCACATCTTATAAATGCTAGTCACAGGATAAACAAATAAGAAAGATTCTGATGCTCTTCTTGAAGAACTGCCAGTCTAGTAGGAAGATAGATGGACATTTGCTATAAATAAGGAAAAATTGTGTGCAGGGTTTCTAGAAGTGCCAGTCACTGCTAGGTGAAGAGAGCAAAGGCTTTATGAAGGAGGTAGTAGCTTAGTTATCCACAAGTAGAAGACTGCCAAGCCTAGGAAGAGAAGAAAAGTGAGCCTGGGAAGAGAAACAGTGCCTGCAGCATTGAGTGCTTGGCAACCCCAGAGGTTGGCAGGTGCATGCACCTGGCCCACAGGATGCTACTAGTCAGTGTAAGAGACAGAGCCAGGAAGTAGGCTGAACCATTCTCTTTTTATTCTAGACTGCTCTAAACATGGCAGAGGATGAGTTGTCTGTACCGCCTTCATGTATTCATTCTGTTTCTTTAGCAGCCCAAAGGAAACTTTCAGGCACAGGACACATCATCACTGCCTGTCATCCTGAGAAACAAACGTAAGTAGCTTGGCCCACCTTTCAGAATGTAGTTTTGACTGGCTCTTTTGTGTGGTTTTCATTTCTTAGTCCTCGTCGCTATTTGAACATCTCTTGTGTAGTAGTAAGGACCTCTTGTTTTGTCCCGTACATTCGTTGGTCAGTAGCTTAGCAGTCTGTGAAAGCCTCTGTAGCAGTGTATACATTAGCTTCAAAGGCAGCACTCCAGCCCTGGGTGTGAGCCGGTTCCCTATGTAGTCTCTGTCCTCACAGCTGTATGAATCAAAGGAAATCTTGCTAGATGCTTGTTAGATGCATTAGGCATATGCATATGTGTGGAGTCTCTGAATTCTTTCCACTGAATTTAAACTAGGTCATGTCACTTACTGTTCATATATTATTTTTTTCTCTCAATACTATAATTACACATGTTGCTTTAAGACTGCTGCTTGCTATCTTTCATAGGCATATTTACATATATATCACATTTTAAATTATCACTTGCCTACAAAACAGGTTATTGAAATTGCTTCCAACTCTTACCATAAATAATATAGTAATACTTACTTTCTTAATTGGCTCCCTAGAAATCTATGTGAAAACTTCTGAAGGCAGTGTTTTTCAAAGTTTAATTCCGTGCTGAGTTAGACATGAGATTCTTAGGCTTTACCCAGACCCTACCCAAAATTCTGGAGGTGAAACCCAGTGTTCTGTTTTATAGATTTTCTAGGTGCTCTTGATATCCTCTTCAAGAATCACTGCTTTATGCTATCATTCTGTAAGTACTTCCAGACAGCTCCAGAATAGCAGTGCCAGTCTGCACGCCGACATAATGTAAATTCCCTTCAGACATTACTGGTTATTACTCATCTCCACATAGAGATGACTAGAAGAGCTGCTTTACCAGACTGACACCCATTTCCACCTGTGATCCAGCACATTCCACATGCCTTTTACAAGTCTAAAGTTTTTCCCTGTGACAACCCTTGTTTCAGAAACCCACTGCCTTTCGTAGCACATAAAATCGCTTTTTCAAAAGTGCCTGTTCTGATCCCTGGCATGCCATGCCAGCCCCACCTCGGGGTCATGCTGAGACACTAAGACTGGGCGCGGTGGCTCACGCCTATAATCCCAGCACTTGAGAGGCTGAGAGCTGGAGAATCACTGTGAGTCTGATCTACGCAGTGAGACCCTGTCCAGCCTGTACTAAATACATTTAAAATAAAGAAGAAGTGCCTGTTCTGTGCAAGGTCCTTGATATGTATTACCTCTGATCCACACAAATATTTATTTTATCTTTCTGAGGCAGATTAGTAGGTGAGAATATAATTTATAGACTGATGTTTTGTAGGCTTGAGTCCCAGTACCACTGTTGATTAACTGTGTAACCTTGAATGTTATTAATCTCTCTGTGACTCATTTTCCTCCTCTGTAAAAGATTGCCAGTAATAAGATCACAGGAAGTCAGGTTTAAATGAAGTTACCAAGAACTCATCAGTGGGTGCCTTGCATTAGACTGTGCTGTCATCAGCACAGTTAATTGTAGTAAGGCTCAAAGGCACTAAGAAGTTTACCCAGCCAGCTGCTGGATTGATTTCAAAAAATGAAAAGCTGTATTTTCATTCTCCTAGGCTGCCACTTAGACACAACTTGTTCCTTATAACTTTCAGGGCTCTACATAGCATTCTGCTCCTCTTATCCTTCCTCTTTATATACACCTCCTGCTTCCTCTTTTTTCCCTTTTTTGTAACTCCCATGATGTTTTTCTGCCTTCATTTATATAATTCTCAGAAGGTCCTTTTTCTTCTGACCTGTCTACTTTCTTCAAGGGCTACTGCTTCTTCCTCCATTGTATTGTATTTGCTTCTTGACTCCCCTTTTGAAACTGAGGCAGGCTTCCGACTCTTCACAGTGAAGCGTGTTTTCTTTTTCACTGTTGCTCCGATTCTCTGTGGGAGCAGGGCCCATGTCTCAGATGTTAGAGTATATCCTGTTTGGGGTACAGTGTTTTATTGTTTTGTCTGTCATAGAATTTGAATTGGGAATGATTGATTATATTAATATCTGTTAAACCAAAAGTATTCTGAAGCATATACAACATCCACCCCAGTTTTACCACCTTTAGCTCTTGACATGCCTGCATAGGCAGATAATGCAATTCATGGCTGGGACCAAGCTCATTTATCAAAGGAAAAATGACTTGTTGACCATGTACCAGTTTAACTGCTTTAGCAAGTTAGAGCTCCAGTTTTCCCTCTGGTCATATTAACGAGAAATATGTAATATGAGAACCATATAGCTTTGTGGCATTAAGGAAATACTACTCTTTCTTTATAAGTCAAAGAAAAATTGATCAAAATCTGTGCACTTAATGATCAGAAGAATCACTTAAGGAGTTACACCGTATGTATACTCCTAGGTCCACCCCACTCGACAAAATGGGGCTGAGAATTTCACACCATATCAGTTCTTTTGTTTCAAGGAGTGTTACTCTTAGTTATCTGTAAGATTCCTTTTACCCTTAAAATCTTTTCAATCTTATTTTTTCATTAGTTTGCGTTTTTAAAATATACAGTATTTTAACATAATTTATCTTCCAGAAATACCATATTAAAGCTTTTTTTTTTTTTTGCGGAACCAGGGATTGAACTTAGGCTCTTGCTCTTGCCAGGCAGGTGCTTATTCTACTGAAATGTCTCCCTGGCCCTAACATGGACTCAACTTTTTTTTAAGCAAAAACGATAGCTTATTATGTGCTTTGTTGTTATGTCCCTTAATGTTTTATTTCTCTCTTTACTACCCATTTTAGTGTCAGTACATGGACTGTGTCCTCAACGTTGCATCATACTCTAATATATGATGTACTGTAACTTACCAGTCTCTCAGTACTCATTTATGTCATTTTTGGTCTTTTGCCATTATCAACAGGTTACATTGAATAACTTCAGACATGCGACTATATCTCATAGAATAAACACGTTCTTTGTAATCAAATGATCAAAGAAGAGAGGCATTTACACTTTTAGTAGTTACTTGCAAACTGTCCTTCATAGTTTTTGTACCAACTTACACTCCAAAGTCCAACCCGTTTTAAAGCATTTGCTTTTATTCAGCATGTGTAAAATATATCAGCACTAGGAGGGCGTGGATAGGTGATGTTGAGTTCATGTCCTCTCTGCCTTCGCAGCCTCACAGCCCAAGGAGCGCCCCCGATCTGCAGTCCTCCTAGCTGAAGAACCCATGGCTGCCCCAGTGTTTGCTAACAGACGGTCCCAGCAGAGTGTCTGTCTCTCCAAAAGTGTCTCCATACAGAACATCACTGGGTAAGTGGAGGTTTAGCTAGTACAGTTGATACCTGGGTGACAGGAGCATAACAATCACATCATTTGACATTAGATGCTTCTTTTGAGAAACAAGTACATAAAATAATGGGCTGGTGTACTGGTGCACAGATGGTTGTTGGAGACAGGAGAAAGGGGACTGAATTGGAGGTACTGTTTTGGCTGCCATTTTGTGATAGAAATCTCCTTTAAATACCATTATCAGGCTGGTTGTTCTGGGCATGATCAGCCCTGCTTTTGAAAAGCCTGAGTTCTAGCAAGATGTCTTAATTCAAAATAAAAAATAGGAAAAAAGATAATAAAATAGAAATTTGTGTTTGCAGCTACATATTTTTATCTTTAGATAACACTTTTCTGTTGTACCTATGAACCTGGTTGCCTTATTTCTTTGTGTTTCCCAGCCTTGCCTCTTATCTCTTTAGCCAGTTCCATAGAGGTAAGTTATGGGCCCCTTGCTATGTTTCTACTGCTTTGCACTTTTGTAGTCCGCTACAGAAGTTGTTATGGCTGGGGGGCTATTCAGGCATTGCCTAGTGAGTGGTTGACATAGGGTTGATTATATTGTTGGCTGGCTTTGATGAGATGCCCCAGGTCTATTCAGTCCCTATAAGACATGTCAAATGCAGAACTCAGAACATTTCAGGAGGGCTGGCCTGATAGTCAGAGGGCTAAAGCACCTGCTTAGGCAGAGTGCAGCAACCAGAGTTCAATCCCCAGCCTGCCATGCCAGCCCCGCCCCCAAGGCACACTGAGATCGCAATTGAGCCTGGGGGTGGTGGCACATGCCTGTAATCCCAGCTCTTAGGAGGCTGAGCACAGGTCACTACCAGTGCAATCTATTGTAGACCCTGTCTCCCTTGTACTAACTACATTTAAAAAAAAAAAAAAAAAAAAAAAAAAAAAAGAAGGACAAATTTTGCACTAAAGGTTATAAAATCTTCTTTAGTCTCTATTTCCTAAGTTCCATGTTTGTTAAAATTTCTTCCTTAAAAAACATTTTAGATTGTTTTGGTTTGTTTTTATTTTTAGTATGTCTTCTTCTCAAAGTTATAATATTACAAAGTATATTTACATTGTAACTTTGAAAAGTTGATTCTTAAATAAAACTCAGAATTTTAAATGATGTTTTTGTGTTGTATAACAAACATTCATTTTGTGCTTACTATGCTAGCTGAGGAGTTGGTTGGGGTTAAGAAAGTCCTGAGAAAATAGTTTATCCTAAATGCATCATCAGTTGTTATTTAGGGAACAGGAAGGTAAAAATGTAATATTTAGATAATAAACTAAACTACCTTATGTAAACTTCTCTTTGTTTCTTACCACTTTTTTAAAAAGGCTCAAAATGCAGTAATAGTAAATGCCTCCAAACATCTTTAATAGTGTTCCACATAGCTATATACCTAAACACTTTTTCTTCAGTCAGAGAAGAGCTTACAGCTACCATTTTAGAGTTTTTCAGGTGCTCTTTTAAGAATACAAATACACTTATCAGAATGTATATTACAACAGTATAAACTTAATTTTGTTCCCAGAGTTGGCAGTGAGGAGAGCATGTCAAACACCTGGAAATTCCTGTCGCACTCAACAGACTCACTAAATAAAATCAGCAAGGTCAATGAGTCCACAGAATCACTTACGGATGAAGGTAAGAGGAAGTTACAACCTATATAGTATTCCGTGTCTCTGAAGAGACTGTTGTTTTGCAGAGTACTAGTGTTAATGAATAGTACTGTCTGCCTCTTCCTTACTCTGAAGATTCTGTAAACTGTAAATCCTCAAACACATCATAATGAATTGATAGTCACACTTAGCCAATTCTGAGCTGTCCTTTGAAAGATGGCACTGATTTTAATTTAGGTATACTCTTTGCTACAAGTGTATTTTCTTCCCCTAGACTTTTGTACATTTTCATTTTAGCTATCTTGGCAGAATTATAAGGCTGTTCTCTTTAAATATGTAAATGTAGCACATCCTTTCTAGATAGCAGGAATCATGTCTTAATTTTGTTTGATTCATGTCATGTTTGTCATTTTTATCCAGCCTTGAATGTAGAGTTCGTCATTCCTAAACAGGACTTAATTCTTTTCTACTACTGTGATAACGCTTTCCGTGAATGTCCCATACATCAGTACAGATCTGTGTCTAACGTATCACCCTGAGAAGAGTCTATCCTAGCCTTTTAGTGGTCATAGTGCCAAGGTTCTCATATTGATCTCTTTGATATCTTGAGGAGTAGGTACAGACATGAATGAAGGACAGCTAATGGGAGACTTTGAGATTGATTCCAAACAGCTAGAAGCAGAGTCCTGGAGTCGGGTAGTGGACAGCAAATTTCTGAAACAGCAAAAGAAAGATGTGGTCAAACAACAAGAAGTAATTTATGGTGAGATTCTATATTTTGCTTGCTTGTGTTTGATTTGTGTTATGAAGCATTTTTAATCTGGTGATTTGTTGGGCTATGAAAAATGAATTTAAAAGAAATTAGTTTTTAATATGTGGCATTTTATTTTATTTCAGTACTGGGAATCAAATTCAGGATCTTGTGCTTGCTGGGTAGGAACTGTGCCACTGAGCTATATCCCTGACCCATTATGTGGCATTTTAAAGGCTTTGCTTTAAAACTTTGAAGTAGAGAAACATGGCCTTGTTTACATCCTCCTTTCTTCCTGTTTCCCATTGTGTTGAACATTTGACTTCGTACATGAGAGCTTAGTTGTAAGCAGTCCTAGAATGAAATCTCTTAATGAAGGCACAGGGTAGTTCTTTAGCTGCAGTGGAAAGTAGACAGAACACAAGTCAGTTATAAAAACTAAGAACATATTTAAGACCTTTTTGAAAATCATTATTTAAAACTGTCAATTTTTATTATTATTATTTTTTATCTTAGGGAAGGGTCTACAGGTCTCACTACTAGATCAGACTCCTAGTGATCTGCCTGTTTACAGCCTCCCACAAGCTGGGATTATGGGCGTGTGCCACCATGCCCAGTCTCAATTGCTATCTCAGTGAGCCCCAGGGGGCAGGGCGGCATGTCAGGCCAGGGGATCAGGAACCCCCACCCACCCACCCAGCCTCTACGCCTGCTTGCAGGCGCTTTAATCCACTGAGCTATTTGGCCAGCCCTAAAACTGTCAGAATTCAGGATAGCTATCATCAAAAAAGAATTTAGATTATGTTAAAAATAGAGAAAAAGATAAGGAGTATGTAGGGAAACTATAGCCATTGATCCAGTTTTAAGTTGGGCTCCAGAATTTATGAAATAAATGACTGCGAAGGCCCCTCAATCTCTGTCTTCCTTTCAGAGTTGATGCAGACAGAGTTTCATCACATCCGCACGCTCAAGATCATGAGTGATGTGTACAGTCGGGGGATGATGACTGAGCTCCTCTTCGAGCAGCAGATGGTGGAAAAGCTGTTCCCCTGTTTAGATGAGCTGATCAGCATTCATAGCCAGTTCTTTCAGAGGATCTTGGAGCGGAAGAAGGAGTCTCTAGTGGATAAAAGTGAAAAGAACTTCCTTGTCAAGAGGATAGGGGATGTGCTTGTAAATCAGGTGAGCAGGGATGAGCTCAGGCTCGTCTCACACCGTGGGAAAGAGTGAAGCTCTGTGCTCAGGAACCGTGTACTCACCTCTGTAAACTTGGGCAAGTGATAGCGCCTCTCTGACTCTTGATTTCCTAAGAGGATGCTACTTTAGAAAGTTAAGGGAGTGAATGTGTAAACTACCCAACATAGGATAGATAGATACTCAATAATAAAAGTTAGTTTTTCTTCCTTGGAATCCATACCATCATCAGAAGCAATATAGCTTAAGAAATCAAGAATACTTGTTGAGAAACTTCAGCTTTCCCCTATTGCTTAAATCAGAAGAATCTCATTTATTTAAAAACCAGCAGATGCCTAGAAAATTAAGCAACTATCTATGAAATATTTCGTAAAACATGTATTCTTATTTTCATCAAGGGTGTGGTATAGTTTTCATTCCCCTCCAAAAAATATTCAGTCTACCAATTATTTTAGTACTTTGAGATGTTTGTCATAGGCAGCTTTTAATGTTTTCTTTTGAAACTATTTTCATTTTTTTAAAAAAATTATGAGTATAACTTTAACAGAAACAGTGTTACAACACAAGTATATGGCTCAATCTTTTTCTCCAGCAAATCCCTGCTTCTGTGTAGAAGAAAGGCATAATTGCTGGAGTGTTTGTCCAAGAATTGGAAATTTTAGCTTCCTTTGACTTTTGAGCCCATACTCCTTACTTGATCAGTTTAATGCTATATTCGTTCACTCTTTGAGTGTTTACTGAGTATCTCCTGAATGACAGGTCATACTACTCATGTGACTAAGTATGGCTTGGACATTTGGCCCACTGAGCTCCTGTTCTAAAAGTAAAAAGGCGTGCTTTGAAATAAACGCAGATTCTGTGTAGTAAATTTCATTTCCCAAATGCACACTGAACAACATCATTATAAAATACAGGGACTAAAATGGAAGACCTACAAATGAGGCTCATTCTTCCCCCTAAACTTCCCCTTTAACAACGTTTTTCATTTTTTCTTTGTGCCTTCAGGACCTGCACAGGGCCCTTGTCTACTCTTGGCTTGTATTATCATCTTAACCCCTTATATTTGTATGTACCCCTTAAGATCTTCAGTGCTAGTCTTGTGTTGGCTATTACTCTGTGCCATTGCTAGAGAACCCGTTAGAGAATTTGCTTTACATTTGAGCAGATGTCTTACCATCTTTTTGCCTCAGCTTATCTATTGGTAAATGAATAAAGGAAAAGCTACCTTGAGCCTTCTTCACGTTTTTTGGTAAGGATAAATTTGTGTTGCCTCCAGAGATTTTTCAGTATATGCAAATCCGTGTTTGGCATGCATCACATAAACTCCACTCAGAAACTCACTGAATTACGCCAACATAAACATAGCTTCAGATGGACCTTTGAGATTGCACACATTTGGAAATGTTTTAAGAGCCATGCAAAAGTATTAAAGCTGCCTGCCTGAAGGAGGTTGGATTATCAGATCCTCAGATAAAGAAGCCTGTTAGTGCTCTGTAGTATGTAATTGATTAAGGTCAAATTTCTAAGACCCATGGTCACATGATAAATTTCTAGTGAACTTCCTTATTTGCTGCTGTGTTCAGAACAAATGGAAGAATACATTTCACAGTCTGTGGAGATGGCAAATAAGAATTTCTGTAAGTTTTTATTCCTTAAATATACATAATAGCTTTATTGAGATTAAAATATGTAAGCCATAAAATCCACTCATTTAAAATGTATAGTGAAATGGTTTTTAGTATATTCATAATTAGGCAGTCATCACCATAGTCAGTTTTAGAATATTTTTATCATCCAAAAAGGAAAATCCCAGCACTCTGGATGGCTAAGACAGGAAGAGTGCAAGTTTGAGCCCTGCCTCAAAATAAAAAATAATTGGCTAGGGGTGTAGCTCATTGTGAAGGCCTGAGGTTCCATCCCTAGTACCTACCCCTAAAACCTCATATTCATTAGTAGTCATCCACATGTCCCACAAACACCAAACTGCACTCGTCCTAGGTAACCACTAACTTTGCTGTCCTCAAGAAACAATATGTGATGTTTTGCGATTGGTTTTTTTTACTTGGCATAATGCTTTGAAGGTTCATCACACATTATAGCATGTAATGATTCTTCATGTCCTTTTTATGGCTGAATAATATTCCATTGCATGGATAACATCTTTTGTTAATAGTCATTTCCATCAGAATACTTTTATGAATAATGCTGCCATGAACATCGGTTTACAAATTTTTGGTTATTGTATGTTTCAGGACATTCACCTAGTAGTGAAATTGCTGGGTCTTAGGAGAATTGTAGCTAAGCCATTTAATGAAACTCCTGCTTCAGTTTACTTTTATAAATAGGACAGAAACTTTTTTACAAATTAGTAAAATAAGTTTGGTGAGTTACAGCATAACCAGTGTTCTCTTTCTTCTGCAGTTTTCGGGTGAGAGTGCCGAACGTTTGAAGAAGACATACGGCAAGTTTTGTGGGCAGCACAACCAGTCTGTGAACTACTTCAAAGACCTCTACACAAAGGATAAGCGTTTTCAGGCATTTGTAAAGGTACTAAATAGGAAGCATGGAGACTTCCACCACTGGCAAGAAACATCACTGTTGATTTTAGCTAGTCATCCTCCCGTTATAGTTCCTAATAATTTGTTCATTACCTTATAGAAGAAGATGAGCAGTTCGGTGGTAAGGAGGCTTGGAATCCCAGAGTGCATATTGCTTGTTACCCAGCGAATCACCAAGTACCCAGTTTTATTCCAGCGAATATTGCAGTGTACCAAAGGTGAGTCTCCTTTTTATTTTATTTAACTTTTTTTATTTTTTATTTATTTTTTCAGAACTGGAGATTGAACTCAGGCCCTTGCACTTGCTAAGCAACTGCTTATTCTACTGAGCCATCTCCCAGCCCCTGAGTCTCCTTTTTAAACTTACTCTAATAGCTGGGCATAGTGGCACATGCCTGTAATCCCAGCATTTGGAAGGCTGTGGCAGGAAGGTTGCTGTGAGTTTGAAGCCAGCCTGGGTTACATAGTGAATTAAAAGGCAACCTGAATTACAGAATAAGACCCTGACTCAAAAAAAAAAAAAAAAAGCTTAGTCTTAGTCTTTTTTTTTTTTTTTTTTTTTTTTTTTTGGTACTGGGGATTGAACTCAGGCCCTTGCGCTTGCCAGGCAAGTGCTTATTCTACTGAGCTATCTACCCAGCCTTAGTCTTAGTTTTATAGGTCAGTGATATGCTTTTTTATGTCCAGTAACATGAGAGACCACTGTAGCAAAACTATTTCATAAACTGTCAATATAAAACACATTTTGTGTTGTATCTTGAAAACTGTTTTCTTGAGTGAAAACTGAGAACATTGTTACCAGACATTGGGTGGATGACAGCAAGAAGGAAAGGAAGTATTCACTGATTTCCAATCAGAGCTCAGTGCACTGAACACCTTCCCTTATCACTAGACTGGTAGATAAGTCCCACTGCAACAGCAAACAGAAACACCAAATGACACTCAGGTTTTGGAGACAGATTTATTTAGGTTGTTGGGCACTGACCTGGATCATTCCCAGAATATCAAGCCCTGATCTCCGGTGGCTGAGGGCTTACATGAGCTAAGCAAGCAGGAAGAACAGCAGCAAGGTGGCTTGTCAACTGAGGATTGGTTTATACAGTGTGTCATGTGACCAGACATTTCTAAGAGAACTGAAACAGGAACTGTTTACCTGGGTAACTAAGAAACGCAAGTATGGAGGGGGGTACGCACAGGGTGGGGGCATTTTTCTGCTATACCACCAGTTCTTTTGTTAAGTGTAGAGTTGCTACTGATTCTCATTTAATCAGTATTTAGTTTCTTCTCTCTTGGCTATTCCTGTTAAAATTTTGAGGTAATTATATTAAAGGTTAGGTGAAACAGAGACAAATAACGTGTTGCTCCTCTCTGTACTACTATTCCTCCCCCAAAAATGACTTTTATTTTATAGTATATAATTGCATGTCATCCATGCCATGCAGTATTCCTTTCTTTAGAATTAAATGTATGACAGCCAGAGAGATAGACCCTGTGACCTCTGCTACCTTAGTTTTACTCTGATAGCATATCTACAAAGGGAACGTGATGGTATCATGGGCCAAGAAGGCCCAGTACCTTCCCGTTTTATTCTGGTCTGAAAGGAGCCATGGCAAACAGCATTGTTCTTCCCTCCTAAGACAATGAAGTGGAGCAAGATGACCTGGCTCAGTCTCTGAGCCTGGTGAAGGATGTCATTGGAGCTGTGGACAGCAAAGTGGCAAGTTATGAGAAGAAAGTACGTCTCAACGAGATCTATACGAAGACAGACAGCAAGTCGATCATGAGGATGAAGAGTGGCCAGATGTTTGCCAAGGAGGATTTGAAGCGGAAGAAGCTGGTGCGGGACGGGAGTGTGTTTCTGAAGAGCACAGCAGGAAGGCTGAAAGGTAAGACTTCCCTGGCTTCTATCTGAGTTGTGCCTCGGGAGAGTAGGAAGAAGCCAAGTGCTTTTCTTGGAAATTCTTCACCAGATTTTCTTCTAGGAGTCATCATTTAGTTCTGTCAAAAAGCACTAGTTTGCAGTAGTTTACAAAATCATATGAAATACAGGAAGAAAAGGAAATGATAAATCCAGGGGGAAAAGTTTTTAAAAACGTAAAGGATTAGATTAATACCAATTTGTAAGCTGGTAACATGGCACATGCCTGAAATCCTCCCACTCGGGAGGCTGAGGCAGAAAGGTCAGGAGGTTGAGGCCAGTGTAGACCATGTAGTAAGTTCAAAGTCAACTTAAACCTCATAGCAGACACCTGCCTCCAAAAAAAATACCAACTTGCAAGCTATTAATAAAAGCATACTTCTTTCTGAGACATGTGTAGCCACTACGAAATCATGGGTATGGGAAAGCAGTTGTCAGAAGGGAAAGAACAGTTAGTAAAAATTGATAGAAGTTCATGAAATTGAAATCTCTCACTTGTTCCCAGAGATGTTAGGGGATGTGTGGCTTCTGAGATTTAGAGAAAGGTAAGTTTAATTCATATCAACTACCTTATTACATTTTATGTTGTCTTTTTTTATTTAACTTTTTATGAGGGGCCGGGGAGAGGGCCTGAATTAAACCCCTGGTTCCACCAAAAAAAGAAAAAGAATGCTTTTTGGGGCCAGGGAGGTAGCTCAGTAGAATAAGCATTTGCCTGGCAAGCAAAAGAGCCTGAGTTCAATCTCCAGTTCTGCCGATGATGATGATGATGATGATGATGATGATGATGATGATGATGATGATGATGATGATTTAAAAATAATAATAATAAATAAAATAACTTTTTATCAACAAGATCTACAATTCAGTGAAAATTCAAGCACAACTTATCGTAATTTATAGGATGCAATGAAAAAAGTTCTCAGAGGGAAATTCATAGCTGTAAACTCACACATTCGGAAAACAGAACAGGAACAAATAAATACCCTAATGCTGCACCTTCAACAACTAGAAAAGGAAGAGCAAACCAAACGAAGAGCCCAAAGACAGGAAGAAATTACAAAGATTAGAGCAGAAATTAATTCAATTGAGACGAAGAAAACAGTTCAAAGAATTAAAAAGGCAAAAAGCTGGTTCTTTGAAAGATTAAATAAAATCGATAAGCCCCTAGCCAACCTCATCAAAAAGAGGAAAGAAAAATTCAAATACAAGCAATAAGGAATGAAAAGGGTATAATTACCACAGACCCAGTGGAAATTCAGAAGATTATCCATAGCTACTTTGAGAATCTTTACTCTCACAGAATAGAAGACACAGAAGGAATGGACAGATTCCTAGAAAGGTACAAATTACCACAACTGAATCAAAAGATATAACCACTCTCAATAGCCCAATAACAGCCAATGAAATACATGTAATTAAAAACCTACCGACAAAAGTCCAGGTCTGGATGGATTCACAGCTGAATTCTACAAGACATTTACAGAAGATGTCCCTATGCTCTTCAAACTCTTCAGTGAAATTGAATAGGAAGCATTCCTCCCAAAATCATTCCTGGAGGCAAGTATTATACTGACACACAACCAGGGAAAGATGCAACGAAGAAAGAGAACTACAGGCCGATCTCCCTCATGAACATTGATGCCAAAGTCCTCAATAAAATCCTAGCAAATAGAATATAGCAAATTATCAAGAAGATCATACATGGGGGCCAAGGAGATGGCTCAGTAGAATAAGCGCTTCCCTGGCAAGCGCAAGGGCCTGAGTTCAATTCCTGGCTCCGCAACAAAAAAAAAAAAGATCATATACCATGACCAGGTTGGATTCATGCCAGGGACGCAAGGATGGTTCAATATTTAAAAATCTATAAATGTAACACACTATATCAATAGAGTGAAAACTAAAAACCACATGATCATCTCCATTGATGCAGAAAAGGCTTTTGACAAAGTCCAACACTCATTCATGTTCAAAGTCCTACAGAAAATTGGAATCGATGGCCTCTACTTCAGTCTGGTAAAAGCCATTTATGAAAACCCAACAGCTAACATAATCCTAAGTGGGGAAAAACTGAAATCTTTTACTCTTAGATCTGGTACAAGACAAGGATGTCCTCTGTCACCCCTCCTATTCAGTATAGTTCTGGAATCATTAGCTACAGCCATTAGACAAGAGAAAGAAATAAAAGGAATAAGGATAGGCAAAGAAGAAATTAAATTATCATTATTAGCAGATGACATTATACTTTACTTGGAAGACTCAAAAACCTCCACCAAGAAGCTACTAGAATTAATACACAAATTCAGTAGCATAGCAGGTTATAAAGTCAATACCCAAAAGTCAATAGCATTCCTCTACACAGACAACAAACACACTGAGAGGGAGATTATAGAAATAATACCTTTTATAATAGCACCGAGGAAAATGAAATACCTTGGAATTCATCTAACTAAAGTCAAAGATCTTTTCAAGGAAAATTACAGTACTCTGAGAAAAGAGATCGTAGAGGATTTTCAGAAAATGGAAAGATATCCCACGCTCCTAGATAGGAAGAACCAACATTGTGAAGATGCCCAGACTCCCAAAACTGCTGTACAGATTTAAAGCAATCCCTATCATACTACAACCAACATACCTCACAGACCTAGAGAAATCATTCCTAAAATTTATTTGGAACCAGAAAATACCTAGAATAGCAAAGGCAATCCTGGGCAATAAAGACAAGGCAGGAAGCATTACAATTCCTGATGTGAAATTATACTACAAGGCTACTGTGATAAAATCAGCATGGTTAAAAAAAAAAAAAAATCAGCATGCCACTGGCAACAAAATAGACCTGAGGATCAATGGAATAGATCAGAAGACGCTAAAGCCCCTACGAACACACTCAGCCACCTTATCTTTGACAAAGGGGCCAAACATACTCACTGGAAGGAAGAAAGTCTCTTTAACAGATGGTGCTGGAAAAACTGTCTCTCTCCATGTCAAAAACTAAAACCTGACCCAGGTCTGTCACCATTCACTAAGCTAAAGTCAAAATGGGTTAAAGATCTAAACATTAAAGCAGGGACATTAAATCTCCTGGAAGAGAAAGGAGGAGGAACTCTTGAAGACAGAGGGGTAGGCAAAGACTTCATGAACAAAAATGAAATCGCAAGGGAAACAGTTGAAAGAATTAACAACTGGGACCTCCTCTTACTGAGAAATTTTTTCATGTCAAAAGAAATTATCAACAACGTGAAAAGACCACCCACAAATTTGGAAAAAATTATCACAAATAAGTACTCAAAGGTCTACTCTCTAGAATTTATGAAGAACTAAAAAACACTAGGGCCCTAAAATTTAAAGACCCAGTCCAGAAATGGGCATCTGAGATGAACACACACTTCTCAGAGGATGAGATTAAAGAAGCATATAAATATATGAAAAAATGCTCCACATCACTAGCCATTCGCGAAATGCAAATTAAAACAATATTGAGATAACATCTCACCCCAGAAAGAATGGCTATCATAAAGAAATCACCCAGCAACTAATGTTGGAGAGGCTGTGGGGAAAAAGGAACCCTTCTCCACTGCTGGTGTGAATGTAGACTGGTGCAACCGTTATGGAAATCAGTGTGGAGACTCCTTAGAAAAGTTGGACTGGAAATCCCATTTAAACCAGCTATTCCTCTACTGGGAATTTTCCCGGAGGATCTGAAGACATCTTATCATAGGGATATATGTGTGCCTATGTTTATAGCAGCACAGTTTGTGATAGCCAAATCATGGAAACAACCAAGATGCCCATCACCTGAGTAATGGTTGAAAAAGATGTGGTATTTTTACACAATGGAGTATTACTCAGCTATAAAGATTGATAAACTCAAAGCCTTTGTATTGAAGTGGATGCCACTTGAACATATACTCATACGTGAAATAAACCAGACACACATGTGTAAATATCATATAGTTTCCCTAGTATAAGAACTCCAAAGAAGAAATACAAATAGAAAAGTATATTACAAGTAAAAGGAAAGCAGAATCTCAAGGACTAACTAATCAAGAGAGGGAAAGGAGAAGAGCTAGGAAATATGACAATGTCAAGCCATACAGTTATATGTAGAAGATGAGCAAGGCAATGATCCTGAGAATCTCCAGATTTTTTAATCTAGCAGTTAATTGGAATGATTCTCACCCTGACTAACTATATATACTGATACCTGTGAACTAAGCAGCTGCACTGCAGATGGTAATCTGTAATATTAGTTTCATGTTTGGAGTTCCTGTCATTCTGGTCTTTTGAAAACAGGCTGCTTGTCATGACATGCCAGGTGCTGCTGTGCTATCTCTCGTGTAGATGATTGTTCAAAAAGAAGAGGGTGGTGAATGAAAGCAGGAGATAGGAAAAGGAATGTTGTGGGACTGTCCTGCTTCAAGGTTGTATATGGTTAGATTTTTGGACTTATGTGTAAACATAAGAAGTATATAATTCTTTATGCCTATTTCTTAAAATATATTCTAATTTTTAGATGTTTTTTCATCATATCCTATAGGGACTTAAAGTTCAACATATCAATACTTGATCAAAAATACCTGTTCCATGTTATGCCTAAGATGTTTGATATTCAGACAGTTAGTATGGTTAGGCTTAACAGCTTAGGTTTTGTGGTAAAAATAATAAGCTTCTCTTCTGGATGGTTAACAACCTAAGTTTGCAGACCAAAATTAGAGAAAAAGGAGGGCCACCAGGAAAGCCAACATTTGGCCCTAGCCTTCCAAGGTCATTTAAGACTCGGGACATATGAGAACTTTTACTCTAACATCATGTAACTTGGTAGTGTCCCAAATTTTCTGATCAAGGAGATTATGGGGCCAAAGAGGAAAGTGATCGATGATGTAGAGTGTGCCTAAGGAGAGTCGCATGGAGAGAAAACATTCTCTCAGGCTTTCACAGAGAGCACATTGGCCAAGCAATGGCCTTGACTCATCCACATGGCTGACACTGACAAAGGTTCTACAATCTGAGGTACAGGATCTCAGGATAAATCCTGAGGGGATTTCACCGACCTTATCAGGCCCAAAACTACAGCTCTTGTTGCATAGGACCTGCTTTACCTTGGTCTTAACCATCCAGCAGAAAAGTATAAAAACGAAGTATAAGAAGTAAAGCCATGGTGTTATGTTGAGCTGTAGGGGACTCAGGTCAACAATTTCTGACATCGCCAGTGAAGCAGAAGACCCAATACTATTATGGACTACTGAACTCTTTTAGAATATTTTGCTGAGTTTACACACCTATAATATTTAAATGATAGGACGTAACAAAAAAAGGGGATGCAGATGAATGTCCATTTGGTATCAGTGTATTCAAAGTGGTTAGGATAGACATGTAGTTACATTCTCTTAATGAAAAGAGGGATTTGTTCTAATGGTGTTTGTAAATAGGATATCAAGTCCGCATCTTGTGCAGCAATTAACCACTAGGAAGAATGTATGCAATGTGTTAATTATTGAGACTGTCCTACCAATTTGGTTTGAAACTGTCTCGCTGCTATTTGTTTCTCTATAAAATTATGGAAAAAAATTTTTAAAAAAAGAAAAACCGTTTTCATTTTCCATTTGGTTTTTATTTTTTTTTTTTTTTTTTTGCGGAACCGGGGATTGAACTCAGGCCTTTGAGCTTGCCAGGGAAGCACTTATTCCACCGAGCCATCTCCTTGGCCCTTCCATTTGGTTTTAATCTTCACTTTTCAAATGGTCAGCCACAGTAAATTAAAGAAGTGGGGAGACCTTACATGTGCTGTGTGATGGCTATGCCACTGAACTCCACACATGCATACTGTAAGGGCCCCTGTGAGCTCTGGCTGCATCAGTGGCTTATTGTGTATCTCCTCCTCACTGGCCTGTGAGCTGAGGACAGCCCTGCTGGCATAGATAAGGCAGAGGAGAGTTAAGAGCCAGGGGAGAATAAGGTGCAAGTGCTGAGTAGGAATGGCTAGCCACCCATGGGAGGTGGCTGGGCCTCTCAGGCATTGGGTGAGCCACGGCATTGTTGGGTAGCAGGCCTGAAGGAGCTCCAAAGCCAAGCTGTGATAGAACACACTCCTGGCTGCGGGTCTGACAGGCAGAACACCCAGTGGGTATGGACAAAGGCTGCATTCACTGCAGGGATTTAAGTGGGAAAATGACGCACACTGGCCAGGGCCATGTAGAGACCACTGAAAATAATAAGGTCTCTGGAGGCTGGTGAGTGATTCTGGAAGTGATGACCTGGCTTGCACGGTAATAGAAGGCTTCAAAATGAAGTTAGGGTCATGCCAAAATCGAGCAAAGTCCCTTGCTTCCACCAGCCAGCTATTACGTGATAGCATGAAGGAGCCTGAAAATGTGGGCCTCTTTCTGCATTGCCCCTTTGAGGTTGTCTTTTAAGCAGCTGGTGGTTAACAAACACCTGCCCTCTCTTATAAGGGCCTGGATTTTCTGGAGCTGCTGCTGTCTGGAGCCATTGCTTTATTATTTACTTCATATGACAGTGTATTCATTTCCAAAATTAAAACTGATAGATTTCAGCTGTTGGAATAGAGTTGTGGTTAAACGAAAATGGTAGGTTTTCTGGTTTGAGATACTGCCAGTGGTGATAGGAGCTGGTGTTTAGTTCTTTTCACCCCTAAGTGAACATATGCCAAGAACAATCATGACTGTTACCCTTTGAAGGGGATGGGATTGTTTTTCTCTGATTCACAGAGAGTAATCAGATGAACTTCAGGAGCCAATAAAGTTGGAACTTGTGTTTAGATTTTTTTGGCAGACATCTGAATTACTTAAAAGGAAAAAAAAATTCAAAACTAGTAATAGTGCTTGGAAAATTACTGTACTCTAGGCTGAAAAATTACTTTCCTAGGAATCAAACACCACCTGTTCCTTCATAGGTTTACAATCAGCTCCAGGGAAAAGGGATTCCAGCTAAGGCAGAGGTTAAAGTAGAAAACCAGGAGGAACTGTGTGAGTTAGTTCCATCCTTTTTCTCAAAGGAATTGCAGACTGAGCTTTCCAGAGTGAAGATTTTGGGGTCAGCCTGTTGGCTCTCAGTAGATGCTCAGAGTTGTCAAACTGTCCATAAGGGAGCAATGGGAAATTCTTCTGTTTTTCTTTGTTTTTGAGAAGCAGCAGCGGATAGAACCTCGGGTTCCATGCACACACGCTAGGAATGCATTCTGAGCTACACGTATCCCCTTGGTTTTAGTTTTGATGGAGCAGAAAAGAGGACTATTACTGTGGTATAGAGAAGTAGAAGTGCAGCCTGTTGCCTATGGGAGCCATGGGTAGACCCTGTATTTGTTTGTACTTATGAGGCCAAAGGGTATATCTAGAGGTCATCTCACTTCTTCGGAAGTATCAAAGAAACATGCTTTTCACTAGACTTGGATTTTTCTGTACATCATCTTTGGGTAGCTTGCCTGGTTGCTGTTTCCCAGTATTGTAATGAAGTTGAGAAAGAATTGCTCAATATTTTGTGAATATGTTGCTGTAGGTTGCTGCTTAACATCTGTTGATATCAAGTCTTTGCACTGAGCTACACCCCTAATGCTTTTAGTTTGAGTCACATTAAGTCCCTAAGTTGCTCGGGCAGCACTGAAACTTGTGATCCTCCTGCCTGAGCCTCTCATCATGCAGGGATTCCAGGCATATGCCACAATGCCTGAGTTGAAGAAATCCACTTTGAAACTCAGGGTTAGGGTTTTATTCCTCAGATTTTCCTTATAATATATATTTTCTTAGGACCAAATACTTTAATTGTCTAAGACAAGGCTTTGCTGAGAAATCACATTTTTAAATGACTTTGAAAGTCTGGTGTCCAGGTCTGCATTCTACAGAACTATAAAACTGTTGCCTTGGGGAGGCATGTTATCTCAGAACTTGTGGTGTCACTGAATGTCTTTCAGTAAAACCCTGCTTCTGATTAATTGTTCTCTTTTCCCATTTCCTCTTTCTAGAGGTTCAGGCAGTTCTGCTCACTGACATTTTAGTTTTCCTTCAAGAAAAGGACCAGAAATACATCTTCGCATCATTGGTAAGTAAATTCTGTTTATAATTAATAGTATTCAGAACAACCCTGTTGTAGTTTGTCCACCCTCTGAAAATTAATTTATTCAGGACAGTCATCTGAGCAATCTCTTATAAACCTTTATGATTTTTTTTTTGTTTCTCCCTACTGCAGAAATCATTTTTCTAGTCCCTCATAATCCTTTTGCATACCCTGAATATACTTGCTTATTTAATTTAATTAGAAATCTGTCACTGGAGTGTTTCTCACACATGTGACCCTCAAAATGTTGCTTATGTTTGGTAATACTGACTACTATTTCTGTGATTAACTTGGAAAGATTCATCATGTAGAAAACCTAACGAGAACTTTTATGGCCGTAAACTGTCTCCTCTGATTTTGGGAATATTTTATTGCTTGTTAAAATTTGAGTGAAATAATGAGATATTTCTCTTTATCCTAAAGCTACCATTTGTGTTAAAACTATATGCACTTAAGACAGCATTTGCTCTTAGCTTACTTTAGGTGACATTTATCCTTAAACGTTAAAACATCGTATATATTCCTTACGTTAGTCCTCTCCCATTTGTCCAGGACCAGAAATCGACAGTGATCTCTTTAAAGAAGCTGATTGTAAGAGAAGTGGCCCATGAGGAAAAAGGTCTTTTCCTGATCAGTATGGGAGTGAAGGACCCAGAGATGGTGGAAGTCCACGCCAGCTCCAAGGAAGAGCGTAATAGCTGGATTCAGATCATTCAGGATACTATCAACACCCTGTAAGTAGGTCTCGAGGGCTCAACCCATCCAGCCCTCCTAATACTTTTGTGTCTTGTAGTAGACCAGGCAGTAACCAGAGTCATTGACATCTTAGAAATTTGTCATTTCATCTTGTTTTGGTTGTTCAGGAACAGAGATGAAGATGAGGGAATTCCCAGTGAGAATGAGGAAGAAAAGAAGATGCTGGACACCAAAGCCCGGGAACTAAAAGGTAAACTGTTGGAAGTAGCTGAGGCCTTGGTCTGAGCAGTGTTAGCAGTTGCAGAAAGCAGCTGGTGGCATTCACAGGTTCTAGGTGGGCTCAGGGACCAGTGCCATCTCAGCAGCTTCGACGGGAAGACAGATAGCTGTGAACACCACAGACTTGGAAGAGTGACACTAAAGTGATCTAGTGCTAGGTCAACAGAGCATTGGTCATCTTTTCTTATTATAACTGCTCTTAGAGCCTGCTTGTGGTGTTCTTTGTACTTTGTCACAGAGAATTTCCCAAACCATATAGGCACATTTTGGATTAAATAATCCAAAGAAGGTATTTGAGGAAAAGACTTTCATGATTAATCTGTTTGAATTCTCCTGCTGGTCCCTGGCTTTCTCAATAATCTGTACATTTGCAGATAAGTTGCGAGGCAGCTTGGGGAGAAGTAGTTCGTGGGATTTTTTGGGGTTTTTTTTTGTATTTAAGACAGGGTCTACAGGGTCTCACTGCATAGATCGGACTCCTAGTGATCCTCCTGTTTACCGCCTCCCGAGTGCTGGGATTACAGGCCTGTGCCACCACACCCAGCCTCAATTGCCATCTCAGGGCGCCCCAGGGGTGGGGCTGGCACAGCAAGCCCAGGGATCAAACTCTCAGTCCCTGCATCTGCCTAGGCAGGTGCTTTAATCTGCTGAGCTATTTGGCCAGCCCAGCAGTTTGTGGTTGTGTTTGATCACTATTTATCAGGCACCTGGTGTTGCAGGTAGTATTGTTACCCTCACTGCAAAGCACGTGTTCAAATCCCTGTTGTGCAGATGCGACAGTGGAGCACTTCAAAACCACATAGACGAAAGGATAGTACATGACTGAGCCTGAGTCCTAATGCCTGTCTTACAGACAGCTGGGCCTGGCATTCCTCCTGTTTTGTGGGTGACTTACTGAGTACTCTAAAATAAAAACTACTTTGCGTAAAAATCAAGCTGGCAGTCATATAAGTATAAGCTTTTAAGAAGTTTTAAGCTACTCAAAGTGGTAGCATTCTATTTCATCAAAGGGGAAATAAAAGATGGGCAGATTTAGACTGTGGCCAGATTGATATCTACTTTATTGGCCCATGAATAGGATGACAAGATAAAATCTTCCTTCTGTTAACATTTGTTAAGCACCTGGCTAGTGTACTGCTAGGATGCAGAGATTTGAGAAGATGCTTCAGGAATCTCACATTCCAGCAAGGGAGACCACATGGTAGTTCATGGACCATTCACATGTGTGAAGCGTGTGGGTTCTGTTCATCCTGTCTCTAGTGCGACCTACCAAGAAGCTGACACCCAAGTACGTCTCAAACAAGAGATGGATCGTGTACAAAAGTGAAAAGGATTCACTGAGCCTGCTGAAGAATGGCAGGTTTCATGTCTGAAACTGGGAAGGTTTTGAAAGAAATACAGCAATGATTATCTTTTTCTTTTTTTTTTTTTTTTTAACATATGTTAAATCTCATTGGGAGAATTGCTTGAAGAAGTGGGGCAGCAGCTGGAAGTGCAAAGACCAATTAGGAGGCTTTTAGTATATAGGGTAGATGAGGAAAAGAGCTGGAGAAAGATACAAGAAATAAAGTTATTAAAACGCGACCAGCGGGGTGTAGGTGGTGGCACAGGGCAAGGAAATAAAATCTGCCCTGTTTGTTTTGTGGGTAACCTGAAGGACAGAGTTGCTAACTGAGAGCACAGGCTACAGGAAGGAGCAAGCAGCAAGGCCTGCACCCGGGTGGGGTTCAGACGCTGAGAACGATGCATCCTGGCAGAGATGGCCACTTGAGGGTGGAAGCCCATGGTCAGAAAAGTTAGGATTTGGGGTGCTGTGAGTCATCACCATGTAGGTGGTACCTGAACCCCAAGGAATGACTGAGACCCTAGCAAAAAAGAGTTGAAGATGTGCAGAGCCACCCAGGATGGAGCCAGGGGCAGAGCCCTGCTGCGCCCCCACTGCTGCAGATGGCAGACACCTATGGACTGGTAAGAATAAAATAGGTGTCCTCTGAGTGGAGAGATGCTGTTTCAAATAGAAGGAATCATCATGGTTAACAAAGACCTAGAACAAAGGTTCCGAGATGAGAGCAGCTGTGGCGGTGCACAGTTTAGGCCAAGGAAGTAGAAAAACAGGGCAGGGAAGTGGAAACAGAGGGCACGCTTATGGGGAATATGCCAGTGTTGTCAGAAGCCCCAAGTAGCAATTACAATTTCTAAGTGGAAATTATGGAGGAGCAACTTGAAGGGGAGGAGGACCCTTCCATAAATTACCACAAGGTGGTGCTCATGTCTTAATGCTGTTGTAATGCTAAACAAATCATGCAGACTTCTCATCCACCTTGCAGAACAACTTCAACAGAAGGACCAGCAGATCCTCCTCCTACTGGAAGAGAAGGAGATGATCTTCCGGGACATGACTGAATGCAGCACTCCCTTGCTGGATGAGGGCTCCCCAACTCAAAGCCCTAGAACCCTCTTCCGCTCCAACGCAGAGGAGGCTCTGAAAGGAGGACCTTTAATGAAGAGTGCAATAAATGAAGGTAATTGACATTCAGCACTGCCCCTCATCCTCCTTTACATATCGGTACTATTTTGTGTCAGTAAAATGAAGCACAGTCCAGTTAGCAAGACCCTGTCTCAAAAAGACAAATAAAATAAAACACAGTCCAGAAAATTAGCCAAAATGGGTATTTCAAAATTATCAGGTGAACATCCTGGTAACCACCACCCAGGTGAATAAAGTGTGGCCATTTGCCTGGAAAGCCCTTCCAGGTGCTCTGTCCCCGTCACACTTCTTTCTCTTCACAAGGAATGGCTACTCTGGGTTTTAGTAATCACCATTTACATACCATTCCCTTCTGTTTTATACAGTTTTCTCTTCAAACTACAGGTTGAACTGTATTCACACAGCAGTTCTGTCTTTTTTCTCTCAATTCACAGCAGCATTCAAAGGCATCATTGTCAAGGTCTGACCCACTTGGCCAGTTGCGTTTTTACATTGGGAGGCACCAAGTATCTACTTGGCATTTGTTGTGACAAGCAGGAATAAAAGACAAATTGCTGGAGGTTTTCTCTTTATTTACCAGTTTTTAAGATAGTAAATTGGTCCCATACTTTTTACTTTCTTCTTTTTCTCCTGTTCTTCATTGCTATTACTCAGGTGGGAATATAGTTCAGTGATGGTGTACTTAATAATACATAAGGAGGACCCATTAGCTCAGTTGTTTAAGTGCTCGCTTAAGCAAAAGCAGTCAGTCTCAGGATACTGTGGTTCGATCCCCAGCTCCTCATACCTTTCCAGACCCACCCTTAAGGCATCCTGAGCTTGGGAGGAAAAAAAAAAAATCCTTCTAATTATATATAAGGGGCACTGGGTTCAATCAGCAGTACACAAAAAAATATAAATTTAAACTTGAGTGTTAACCTCATTAAAATTCAGAGTCTTCTATTTTTCCAGGGAGTACTTTGGCTTTTGAGTCCTATGCCATAACCAGAGTAGTCTGAGAGCTTTTTTGCTATCAGGTAAAGTAAAATGTTTCAGGCCCATCTTGTTCATGTTCTATCGCAGATGTGCATTCAGCAATTTCTCTAAGAACTCTTTAGTGGAAAATGCTATTTAAGATCACAATCTGGATGCTAGGGGTGGTCACTGTGACTAGGGTGGGCCTTTTTAGTGAAGAGATTAATTTATGTGACTTAATCCAATGACTACATGAATCAAATTAATTAACTAGATAAACCCTGAGCTGCAGGGTTTGTTCTGTGGTCTAATCTTTTACAGATTTATCTCCTTTCTTCTACTTTGCAAACCTTTTTTTTTTTTTTTTTTTTTTTTGCGAAATCGGGGATTGAACTCAGGCCCTTGTGCTTGCCAGGGAAGCGCTTATTCCACTCAAACTTTCATTTTTAAGGACATCTTGTTGGATATCCTATGTTTAGCTTTTCTCTCCACTTAATACACACAGAACAGAGTCAGAATAACAAGGCTGATGTGCCTGCCACCAGATAGAATTTGCATACACAAGCGCCATTCTCCCTTCATGCTTGAAGCATTTGTTCCATGTCTGCTCTGTCAGCTTGGAACCACTCAGAGTGTGTTCTGTCCTCTGTGACCGTGACCTGCAGCTTCTGCTCTGTAGTCATAGGTAGTAAGTGCTCACCACCAGTTCCATTGGTCATTACCCCTGTGGCAGTCTTGGACATCTGACACTTAGCTCCAGCTCTGCCTCAGGAAAGTGTCAGAATAATGTGCCCTTGAGTTTCTTACATGTTGTGAATAATTTGTATACTTTACACTTGAAAGTCTCCCCTGTAGGATTGTAGGATATGAAGTCTTTCTGTAGGATATGAAGTCTTTGGCCCATATTTTCTTCTTGCGGCATGTTTAATTTTTCTCCTATGTTACTTCATTTTGTAATGGCCAAAAGCATTGTTCTCAGAGGCTGATGATAATTGGATTTTCCCCCATAAGTGACATGGTGTTTGCCTAGCTGCCCAAAGGATTTTTTCCTCCTAAAGTAATTTTCTTTTTCCTTTTTCTTTCTTTCTTTCTTTTTTGGCAGAACCAGGCATTGAACTCGGCCCTTGCACTTGCCAGGGAAGCGCTTATTCCACTGAGCCATCTCCCCGGCCCCCCAAGTAGTTTTCTACACTGGGCTTTGTTGGTTATTCTGGGTTGCTCTTGGGTTCACAGTGGTCTTGTTTTGATGTGTGGTTTCAGATGTTTCTGATTTCAGATTATTGCTGAGTTAGTTTTACTGTTTTCCATGTTTCCTGGTTGTGATTTTTCTCTTCCAAGAACTTCCATTACTCACTGGTGGATCATTTTTATGTTATTATCTCATTTTTGAATATTTGAATATTCTTTCACCTATTAAGCCTTTTTCTTCTGGATGTTATAAATCTTACATTGATTTATCATTTCTGTTTTATCTCTACTTTAGGTTTTGCCAGGTCATGTGTTTTTCTAAGTTTGAGTTCAGTCCTTTCATGCTTTGTGTCATTTTCTTAATGTGTTTAGCACATTTGTTTTCTGGATACACCTTCTTGATGTGCTTTTATTTTCTGGAGAATTATAAACTTGTTATCTCTTTTTTTTTGTATTTCAGGGAAGGGTCTACAGGCTGTTCGGGGTCTCACTACTAGATCAGATTCATAATGATCTGCCTGTTTACAGCCTCCCAAGAGCTGGGATTACAGGTGCATGCCACCATGCCCAGTCTCAATTGTAGTCTCAGAGCGCCCAGGGGGTGGGGCCAGCACAGCAGGCCCAGGAATTGAACCCTTGCCCCTGCGCCTGCTTGTAGGCTCTTTAATCTACTGAGCTATTTGGCCGGCCCTTGTTTTCTACCTTTGTATGGGATTTGACTTCAGTATTTTTCTGTTATTCGTCTTTATATGTGTCCTAGTTATTTTTTACTTGTTGCTGGGACAAATACCCGACACTCAAAATGAAGGAAGGAAAGGTTTATTTAGCTCACAGTTACTGGAGGGTTCAGTCCATATTTTGCTGACTCCAAGGCAAATGATAGCAGTTCATGCAGCAGAAAACAATGAAGAACAGAGGAGGAGCAGCAGCTGCAGCGGCGTCCATCAAGACTCTCTCTTTATTCTGTGCTGACTGTGAAGACCAGCTCGGAGCTCCTCCAAAGTGGCATTGCTGCAAAGATGGGACTTCTCCATGGAAGCAAGGCTGAGCGGCAGGAAACCAGGCAGGGCATGGGATTTCTGCCTTTCTCAGTTCCTGGGCCCTGCCCACCTGTAGGACTAGGCCCTCATGCTGAGAGCTGCCAGAGCTCATTCAGCCAAGTTGACACAATGTATCAACTAACACAATCCACCCCGTGTCAACTTGGCAACTAGACATACACTTTTTTTAAGCCAATTTCCAGGTACACAGACATGCTTAAACATTTTACAAATTGAACATTGCATTACATTAGAACCATGACATACTACCCCTGGCCCTCCAAAGACTCATGCACAACTGTTTATGCAAAAGACATTTTAGTCCATCTCTAAGAGTTGCCAAAGTCCTACCAGTTTAAAAGTCCAAGTCCCAAGCTTCCAAGATCTAAGGCAAACTCTTAGCTGTGAGCCCCTCTACAAATGAAAAGTTAAACACTTCTAACATTTACAGGCACAAGATAAGCATTGCCATTCCAAAAGGGATACACAGCAGGATACAAACAGTTGGGACCAAAACAAGTCCAAAGTCCAGAAGGGCAAACGTTAAATCCTATAGTTCCCTGTGGACCATTCAAAGCACCCTGTAATGAGTAGTGAGCTCCAAAAGCCTTATGTGGCTTCTCCCGTAAGGCACTTCTGTGGGTAGCTCCTATGGCTTTTTTTTTAGGCCTGCTTTGCTCCCTTTTTGCAGCTTTTCTTAGACCATCCACATTCCTGGCTTTTTTAAACTTCTGAGGTTTCTACTGAGTAGGCTTCTCATTTGCAGCTTCACACACTGCCCTCTCAGGGGCACAGTGCCTGGCCTCCCACGCCTTTTTCTGAAATCTAGGCATAAGCCTTTTGAACCTCAGAACACCTGCATTCCTCTTGCACCTACAACCACCAAGGCCACGTGGATGATGCCAAGGGCTGCTGCCAGCTGGAGCAGAAGCCAGGGTTTGCTCTCTCTTGGCTGTACGGGTCGAATGCCTGGATTGCTGAGCATTCTGACTCTGATTTCAAGAAACAAATTTCCTATGTCGGCGCCATTCTGCAATCTGATGTGGCCGCCGCCTCTATTCTGGAACCTGGTGTGGCTGCTGCCCCCATTCTGGAACATGGGGCTCTGCAGCTTTTTCCTCAAAGTCCCTCACCCTTGCCATTTTGAGGCTGCAAAGGGCAAGAACCTGCCACCTCCTGTGATGCCCTCAGGACATCTTTTCTACTCTCCTGTTTCTTCTCAGCAATGGAGATCTTCTCAGCTCTGTCTTCACAGTCCACAGCTTTCCTGGAGCTTTCTTTCTGGCCAAACTCACAACATTTTAAATCATCCTTTTGGGCTCTGTGCTCTTGAGTCTCAAAATAAATCTGGCTAAAAGGCCCCCAGTAACAACCAGGCCACTGCCCCAATATTTGCCTGCCTTGAAATTTCTTGTTTAAGATTAACTAGTCTACTGTGCTTAATTTCAGTCTCAGACAAAGTCTCTGGACAGGAGCAAAATGCAGACAAGCCTTCTGCCAACCCATAACACAAATCATCTGCAGTCCAACAACCAATGCTGTCCTTCCCAGCAGAAACCTCCCCAGCCTGGTCTTTATAGACCGGCTTTCTATCAACCTTCTGGTCTTCTGAGCTCTGCCCAGAATCTCCCATACAGAGCAGCCGAAGCTGTTCCAGTGCTTCGCGTGTAGGCGACATCTCCGAACCTTTTCTATCTCTTACCATAAGCCAGTCCCAAAAGCTTATAATTCACATTGTCAGGTATAGCCACAGCAATGACCCCACTCCTGGTACCAAATTCTGTCTTGGTTATTTTTTACTCGTTGCTGGGACAAATACCCGACACTCAAAATGAAGGAAGGAAAGGTTTATTTAGCTCACAGTTACTGGAGGGTTCAGTCCATATTTTGCTGGCTCCAAGGCAAACAACAGCAGTTTATGCAGCAGAAAACAATGAAGAGCAGAGAAGGAGCAGCAGCTGCAGCGGCGTCCATCAAGACTCTCTCTTCCTTCTGCACTGACTGTGAAGACCAGCTCAGAGCTCCTCCAAAATGGTGCGGCTGCAAAGACCAAACTCCTCGGAAGACTGGGACTTCTCCACGGAAGCAGGGCTGGGCGGCAGGAAACCAGGCAGGGCAGCTTCCTGCCTTTCTCAGTTCCTGGGCCCTGCCCACCTGTAGGACTAGGCCCCCATGCTGAGAGCTGCCAGAGCTCATTCAGCCAAGTTGACACAATGTATCAACTAACACAATATGAAATTAGTTTTCTTAAATTTTTAGGTTCACATAGCTTTTCTCACTCTCTAGTACTCTTGCATTATTTTTATATAGTGTCTTACTTTGAAAACATGATGCTTCTTAGGAGATTTCCTGCCTCAGATTCTCTCCTGTTCATCCACCCTGGTCTTCTTCACTGTGTTTCTCTCCTCAGATTTATTCCACTTCTTACATTTGCATAGTTCCATAGGACTTGCCCTACAAGAGAACCCAGGGCAATGGGTGTTAAAAATTTGGATGCTTAGATTCTTGAGCCTGTTGAGCCCACTTAGTATCAGGCAAAAACCTTACCACTTTTCTGTTTGCAGACTGGCCAGCCTGAAAACTTTCTAAAGACTACCTTTTAGCTCCTTTGAATCTTAACTCCAGAAGCCAGTCTCCTTCTGTCAGATGACTTTTTCTTTCCCTGGACCAATGAAAATTTTCCAGACCTGTGAAAATAAAGTTGAAATTTCCAGTAGAATCTAATGAAAACATAAACCCTGAACAGAGACACTGGGCAAGGAAAGTCATGCATTTCTATGACATTATTTTGTCCTTGTGGAAAGACCTGACTGACAGGTCAGCTGTGTGTGTGTGTTTCCTCTCTGCAGTGGAGCTCCTTCAGGGACTGGTGAGCGGAAGCCTGGGAGGCACACTTGCCCAGGCTGTCAGCAGCTCTGCGGAACAAGAAGCCTTGCTTGGCCCCGTGTCCTTGCCACGGAGAGCAGAGACCTTTGGAGGGTTTGACAGCCATCAGATGAATGTGACTAAAGGTGAGGAGTTCTTGACTCTTGGTTTTGGTGGCTCTGTGTCCTTTCCCATTCGGTCAGTGCTTGGTTTAATGAGGTTCTGAAGCATTAAGATCTGTTTGAGGCCAGCCTGCACTACATGGGGAGACCTTATCTCAAAATGACAACAAAATCTGCTAGATGTTTACTTTGAATAATAATACAAGTTAGGCATCACTAACCCAAAATTTCAAAATCCAAAATACCTCAAGGGCCAGCCAAATAGCTCAGCAGATTAAAGCACCTGCAAGCAGGCACAGGAGCTGGGGGTTCAATCCCTGGGCCTGCCATGCTGGCCCCTTCCCCGGGGCGTACTCAGATGGTAATTGAGACTGGATGTGGTGGCACATACCAGTAACCCCAGCTCTTGGAGGCTGTAAGCAGGTGGATCACTACAAGTCCCATCTAGTAGTGAGACCCTGAACAACCTGTAGACCCTTCCGTAAAAAAAAAAAAAAAAAAGTGCCTCAAAATCCAAAACTTCTTAAATGCTAGTGTCTTACCACAAGTGAAATATTCTACAGTTGACCTCATGTGATGGGTTTAAATCAGAATACAGGTGCACTAGAAATATTGTATAAAGTTACCTGTTGGCTGACTATATAAAAGTATGTGTGAAAAGTGAATTTCTGATTTGTATGCATGCCCAAGATACCTCAGTAATGTGTTCAGATTCTCCGGGATCTGAAGTCCAGACACTTCCAGTGCAAGCATTTTGGATAATGACACCGTTTTCCCTCCTGCTTCTTATTCTTCTTCATGGAAATTATTAATGATGGCTTTAGTTGCCACCGAAGTAGCTTGCACTGCTTTGACATTAATAGAATTTATAAATGTCATGTCTCTGAGCTAGGTACATTATATTCTTTGCTTAATTTTAGGAGGTGAGAAGGAAGAAGGAGATGACGGCCAAGATCTTAGGAGGACAGAGTCAGATAGCGGTCTTAAAAAGGTATTTGTTTGTAGACACACTGTGAGCCTCCTCGAAACTTTGAAATTACTCCACTTTGGTCTTGTTATGGGTGCCTGACTTGCAACTTTCAGGAGAAAGTAAATTTTAAAAAGCAGGTTCTGCAGCTGAGAGTCCAGCACTATTGGCTCATTGGCCTACCTAGCTTAAAGCCTGTTCTTTTACATTCCTGAGCTACCCTGCCAGGACCAGTTTCATCAAGTTTGTTTAAGTGCCACAAGAGCTGGATCTATTCATGAAACTTCTGTAATAACAATTTAGTATCAGATCTTTACAGTAAGAATTTATGGTAGAAAAGTAAAAATATGAAACTACAGTATAACTTAGAAATGCATTGAATATAACTTTCCAAAGATCTTCATGTTTTTAAATACAATTCTTTGTTTTATAGGGTGGAAATGCTAACCTAGTATTTATGCTTAAAAGAAACAGTGAGGTAAGAACATTATAAACTACATAAAAAGTATTTGGGGCTGAGGATGTAGCTTAGTGTTAGCACACTGGCCTGACATGCACCTGGCCCTGGGTTCAGTCCCCAGGACCACCAAAACAAAGAAACTGGGAGGTCGAGGCAGGTTGATTGCAAGTTTGAACTCAACCAAAGCAACTTAGTAAAAGCCTGTCTTACAGTTTCAACATAAGGTGGAGTGGAGCACAGATGCAGTAGCGCACAGACCCTGGGCTCATCCCCGGCACCTGCCAGGGCTAGTCACAGCATTGGGTTAAAAATAGTCATTTTTTATTTGCTGTTTCATTGGTTAGATAAGTCACATTTCTTTTTCTTTTTTTTTTAACTGTTACGGTCCTAGGGATTGAACTCAGGGTTTGTACTCAGGGTTTGTATGTGCACGGTAGGTTGTGTTCCACTTCCAACTGAGCTGCTATACATGCAGGACCTGAATTATTTTTAATATTTTATATAACTGACCATTTGTATTTCTGTTATTTTGTTTTTTATTTTTTATTCATTTTAATGAGAAATAACAATGTAACAGTTTTATATTTCTTTTGTAAATGCCTTGGGACAGAAACATAAGCAGTTCTCTTTCCCCTAATCAAGAGCCTTTTTATTATTTACTTAGTTACTATGTCATGTCTCTGAGCTAGGTACACTAGGATTTTGAGATGGAGCCTTGCTGTGTTGCCTAACCTGGCCTCGAACTTGAGGTCCTGTCACCTCAACCTCCTGACCTGACTAGCCAGGATTACAGGCATAACAGGCATAAACCTTTTTTAAAATCAGTGATTTATTTGACTTTGTTTTCCTTTTGCTTTTCACATTAGTTTTTTAACATTGTGTTAGGAAAGCCTTCTTTCATATTTTCTTCTAGCTCTTTTAGGCTTCAGTTTTTACCTTTAACATGTTAATCTATTTAAGTCCTTTGTTGTTGTGTGAACCAAGGGCCCAGCTTTATGTCTTCCACAGAACAATTAATTTAATATTCTTCCTTTCTGCATCGATTAGGCCAGGTACTTATATACTAAATTCTTAAGGTTCTTCTGCAGGCTTTCTGTTCTATACTAGTGTACTTTTACTCTAGTCTCTTTAAACAGTAGAAATTTTGTAATACTTTGATGAATACTTATAACCCTCCTGCAAACACATTGTTTTGTTTGGTCTTTTTTCTTGGCTACTTCTACTTGTTTATTCCCCTTGATACTTTCAACTTTAAAAAATTTCATTAAAACTGAAGCCCCTTACAAGATTTAAGAAAGTTATAATCTATCACGTAGCATGATGGATTCTGAAATTCATGAAGTCCTGGTTTCCATTTTGCTCCTTTTGCAGGTTGTCCGGAGCATTGTTCATCTGCATGAACTCCTCAGCACCCTGCAGGTATGGGCCTTCTTTTACCATGCATACCCAAGGGTAGAGGACAGAGCAGGCTCTGTTGTGCTTATGGGTGAGCAGGGTCCCAGCCTGGAGAAGCCTGGCTCTCAGGGTGAGGAAAGTCTCAAGTGCAGTGGGTGGAGTTGTGTGGGCCCTGGAGTTGATGCGATGCTGCGGACTGGAGACTGCTTGGTGACAGTCTCTGGCCCTCAAAATGTACAGGAGCTCAGTCTGGCCTGTAGGTGCATGGTCAGGATGGATCGCTGCAGGTAGCTCTTGTCCACAGCCAGCATTGCACAGCTGTCTTCTGTGTGCCTCCCGCAGGGTGTGGTGCTGCAACAGGACAGCTACATCGAGGACCAGAAGCTGGTGCTGACTGAGAGGGCGCTGACACGGAGCATGTCCCGCCCCAGCTCCCTCATTGAGCAGGAGAAGCAGCGCAGCCTGGAGAAGCAGCGCCAGGACCTTGCCAACTTGCAGAAGCAGCAGGCACAGCACCTGGAGGAGAAACGCCGGCATGAGCGTGAGTGGGAGGCCCGGGAGAGGGAGCTACGTGAGCGCGAGGCACGGCTGGCCGAGCGTGAGGAGAAGGTACAGCGCGGGCAGCAGGACCTGGACAGGGACTGGGAAGAGCTCCAGCAGAAGAAGGGAGTGTACCAGTGTGACCTGGAGCGGCTGCGCACAGCTCAGAAGCAGCTGGAGCGGGAGCAGGAGCAGCTACGGCAGAACATGGAGCAGCTCAGCCAGAGGCAGACAGAACGGGACCTGTGTCAGGTATCGGGAGCCTGCTGACTGGGGAGGAGGGCAGCCTGCATGTCTTGCATTGTGAAGAAGGGAGCAGAGAGGGCCAGACAAAAAGCACCTACAAGTAGGCGCAGGGGCAGGGGGTTCAATCCCCAGGTCTGCCATGCTGGCCCTGCCCCTGGGGCATGCTGAGACGGCAGTTGAGACTGGGTGTGGTGGCACATGCCTGTAATCTCAGCTCATGGGAGGCTGTAAACAGGCGGATCACTACAAGTCCGATCTAGTAGTGAGAACCCGAACACCCTGTAGACCCTTCCCTCTAATACAAAAAAAAAAGGACCAGAAGAGATGCCACACCTATTTTTGCCCTTTGCTTTGCCTCAAGTTTGGGGCCTGGGGTGAGTCTCTATACCATCATCTCTGGGAAGTTAGAGTAGGAATAGGTGGGGCAGAGGAGTGAGTGGCCCTGTCCTGCTGACTGGCGCTTCCCCACCTCCCTCAGTACCTGCGAGACAGCGGAAGTCAGGCTTTGGGGAGCCAGCCCTCTGTCTCATGGCTCCATTTAAAGCAACCTGTGCCTGCTGAGGAAACACCAAGGATAAGGGAGCCTCTGGAACTTGGCAGCACTTGTGGTGGAGACAATAGTTCATGGCTCAGCTGCAGGAGCTCCTGTGCAACACTCCTACAGAGGGTCAGCTGCATCAGTGACAGGGAACAGAGCCCTGCCCAGCAAGTGGATGGAGGTGGCCACTCCTCTTGGGCACAGGAGACTTGCTTGGGGCTGGCTTGATGTGTGGTTTGCTGAGCTGCTGTTTGTACAGATGGGCTTTCAGTGACTCGGCACACCAACCCCGTGTTTACCTGAGTGATGCTTCATGGTTATTTGTGGTGGTGGATTCTTGTCCTGGTTGTGCATAGATCTCCCTCTTTTAAAGCTCCTGTCACATTGATATTTCTTTCCTTGGACCCTAAAAGGAAAAGCAGTGTCTTCCAGAGTGAGTGACAGTGTTCACTTTCTGCAGAGGTCTTAGAATATCCAGCAGCAGTAAGTGTTGCTGTTTATGAAAACAAAGATGGGTTCCACTTCCCTCCAGTGCAATCAGTGGGACTTTGACAGTGCAAGCTTTCCAGGCAACTGAGATAGCACAGAACAAATGATCCTCTTTACCTTTGGTTTAACCTTTAGCCAGGATTTACCCTCTAACCTGAAGAGGTATATAATCTCTTTGCCCTGAAGTAATTACCTATATCCTTGTGTAAATCTGGAAAGCTAAATGCATAGCTTGCCTTGTTTCTTCAGAGAATGAAATGGGAGGTCTTTTCTAAGCTGCCTCATTAAAAGTACTATTAATCTTCATTATTGACATTAGTGCCTGCAATGAAAATATTAATGGTATTGAAGGTGGTATTTTTGGTTAGATTGTTTTTTAAAGGAAACTTATTTTTTGTTTTTGATGCTGAGGACCAAACCCAAGGCTTCCAGCTTGCTAGGCAAGCGTTCTACCGCTGAGCCAAATTGAAGGTGATATTTTTAATATGTTTAGGTACTCCTGGGAAGCGGCCAGAGAACAAAACAAGTTCTGAACCTTCTCACAATGAGTTCTAGAGAGTCTTGGGAAGTGGGTGGACCCCCACCAATACAAAGTTGAGTTCAGCCAGTAATTACGGAGTGAGTGTAGGGGTGCTGATGGCCCCCAGCTGAAAATGCCTTCTCTTGACTGTCTGCAGGTATCGCACCAACACACCAAGCTCATGAGGATCCCGTCCTTCCTTCCCAGTCCTGAGGCGTCACCCTTGCCCTCAGTACCTTCAGTGACCAAGTCAGGGTCACTGGACTCAGAACTTTCAGTGTCCCCCAAAAGGAATAGCATCTCTCGGACACACAAAGATAAGGGGCCTTTTCACATACTGAGTTCAACTAGCCAGACAAACCAAGTGCCAGAGGGGCAGAGCCAGGCCCTTTCCAGTATTTCCACCTCTACCCGCCTGTTTGGTTTGACAAAGCCGAAGGAAAAGAAGGAGAAAAAGAAAAAGAACAAAGGAAGCCGCTCCCAGCCTGGCGGTGAGTCCCCACATCCCATGGTGACTGAGTTCTAAGGACAGAGGAGGTTTAAGCACCACAGCAGTTGAAAGGGACACAGTTCAGATGCAGGCAAGCCAAGCTGTCAGCATTCTGATTGGAGCCACTCGCTAAGGATGGGTGTGCGTAGGGCGGGCGTCAGCACCTACTCTGCAGCACACATGAGCCAGGTAGAGGCCGCCGGTCCTAGTTTTAGACTGAAGAACTGGGACTCAGATGACCCAATGCAGGCTTTCCTGTCTGTCTGGGCCTAGTCCAGTAGCTGGTAGTACAAGCATTTGACAGTTTGACCTTGCAGTAACTGTGAAGTAGGTGGTGGCGGGAGAAATGAAGAAGCTGTAGCCCAAAGAGGGGCTGCTTCACCAGTAGTCCCAGAGCCTGTGGTTGCACTGTACTGAAAGCCCCTCACCCTGTGTCATTTTCTCCCTGAATCCTTTCCTATAGCTGCTTAGCAGGATTGAGCTTGGCCTTTTTTTGTAGGAAATTAAAAGAGAATTTGTCTTTCTTGGGCCTCTTGATAAATTCCAGTGCTGAAGTTAGTTCTAAGTTTAGCACTTGCTTGCTGAGTCAGCCTAAAGCCCCCTGGGTGTGGAAAGTGCACTGCCTGTGGGCACCCCAGCAGGACTGACCCAAGAGGAGGAAACGAGGTGGAAAGGGAGTTGTTTGGGATTTCTTTTTCATTCTTGGTTTCACTGTTCCAGACGGCCCTGCATCAGAAGCATCCGCAGACGGTGAGGAGATCTTCTGTTGACCTCTTTCTCCAGATCTGGCACCCGTGCCTGCCTGCCTGCTCCTGCCCCTCAGGCACAAGTCTCCACACTGGACAGCCCTTGCTCCTCAGCATCCAGTCCTGGGCACCCAGGTCCCATACACAAGAGGAGCAGATGATCCTAAGTGGTGGGGCAGGAGGAGGCCCACCCTCCATTCCAGCCATGACCTGTGACTGTCCAGGACTTAGTTGGGAATGGCGCCGCTCGGGACATTAACCTGAACATTGTGGGTGCAAGGGATAATTTGGGGTGTGACCAGAGCCCCCAAGGGTCTGTGTTTCATGTGGGGAGCACAACAGAATCCAGGAGGTAGGGAGGGCTGTGTCTGTGCACATGTTCAGTGACCCAGCTTCGCTCAGCCCAGGACAGCCACAGGCCTCGGCTTCACACCATAGTCCACAGAGAGAGGACCCTTGTAAACCACTCTGTGCGTGCATCACCCCTTTTCTCCATCTTTGAAGGGGTGACAGACATCTGTGAAGCCAGTGGTAGGAATGGTTTAAGGTTATATTTCCTCAAATTCAGAAGAAACTGATTTTCCAATGTATTTGCCTACAGGTTCTAGACACAGAGAGAGTAGAGAGGCATCTTATCCTTATCACTGCAGTGCGACACTTCGGTGTCACTAACCACTCAAAAGAGCCCTCATAACAGCTCCACTGGGATATCCCCTGAGCAGCCAGCTGCCAACCTCTCACCCACACCACAACCCAGCTGTGGCCTAAGGCCTCTCAAGGTCTGCGGGACAACTGCTGAGCAGTGGGTCAGGTGTAGGGTTAAGGCCAGTATACGGTTTCCACCTGTGCAGACAAGGGAGGTGCTGGCCCTGGCTGGGGCCCAATCATTGTAAGGCCTCCCGCAGCAAAACACGGTTTCCTGAAAACCTGTTTAACTCTGAAGTCCTTTAAGAATTATGCTGTACCCCGTGAGGATCACATGAGCTGCCTGGTTTTTCTTCTCCCTCCCCACTGTTTTGGTCTGTGTGTGCTTGAGGCTTTCACTGCTGGTTTGTGCAGGACAGCTCTTTGGTAAGGACTCCTTCTGAGGCTCCCTGTGCTGCGTTCAGCCTCCTGGCTGAGGAGACCTGAAAATGCTGTGCTTGTCAGGTGGCCTTCACTTCCTGCTTTTTGCCCTTCAGAAGCAACAGGCTTCAAATATTTTTTTCTAAAGACAACAATCTGTAACTTGGTGCTTGTTGATGAATTGCAAGCTGGACTTGCAGATGAAGATAATTTATCTTTCAGTTTATTTGAAAGTCTGGTTTAAAATTTTAGCCTAAATTTGTTTTATTTATTTTTCTGTGTTTGTGTTGTTTTGTTTTTAGGGTGTACCAGTTCTAGCCCAGCAGTTAACCTAGTTGATCAGTGCAGAGTGCAGCGGCAGCCGGCGCTGGCCACTCCTGTCTTTCAAGTGCCTTGAGAGCCAGATGGAGGCTGGGGCTGGGGTGGGGCCCAGGGCCTTCTCTCCCCCACTCCCACTCACGCTTTAACCAAGGGGTGTCTCCTTCCTTGAGTGTTAGGAAACTTGCCACCCAAGGACACTCACACTTCAGACATAGACTTTAGGCCAAACCCAACTTATTTCTTAAATGAAACTAAAAGACCCTAAACAGCAGAAAGTCAGCCACTTCCTTCTGCCAGCCCACACAGCTCTGAGTTAGAGCTGAACCTGCCACGACTTTTCTCAGACCCCCATCAGGCTAGACTGCCTTTCTCATCACTGGTCCTGAGTGACCTGTAGTGGTTCCACCTCCCACAGCGGTACTGTTGGGAAGGTAGGGCTCCGAGGAAGGCCTATGCACGGGCAGGATGACTCATGCACCCCAGGTGCACTGTGGCCCCTGAGGTGCCGTGCATCCCTGCAAACGTGACTTTGACCTTCCAGTGTCTGTTTGTCCTCACTAGCGAGGGTGTTTTCCTTGCTTTGGCAGTTTAGGTCATTTTAAAAAGGCAGCCTTCACCTGTACCCACACCTTACCAACACAGAAAAATGTGGCCAGGTTCCAGTGGGCCAGGTAAGCTCTCAGAAAGAGGTCAAGTCTTGGCTTCCCCTGAGCTGCTGGCTGCCTCCAGGAATAATGTGTGGTGCAGAAAGAGAGCCTCTTACCAGGAACTGTGCTTGCGTTTGCCTGCCCCTCTTCTTTGACTTCTTGGATGCATCGCTGCTCCTGGGAGCTCCCCGGGGTGCTGCTGTGGTGCTGATGCTTATGCCCTTGAGAACTGCTCCTGTTCCCCAGTCTGCGGGGGCGGGAGGGGGCACACAGGGACCTGGCTGTGTTCCTTACCGCCCCCCACACCAGTCTTCCTCATGCTAGAGAAATCAGATGCCTGAGATGGTGATTGAATCTTGGGGACAGGTGCAAATACTGTGCCCAGCCTCCAGCTTCTGATGAACTGCTAGAAGGACACTGCACCTTCTCCTGAAAGTCATCTCAGTGGTGGTCCTTCCAGTTGGGTGACATGCACTTTAAAAGCTCTCTCCTCAGTTGGCTCCATTTTTGAGACAATCAAATATGTTAACTTTGTTTTCTTCTTAGAAAATGGAGGTTAAAACATGGAAATTGTTTTTGGCCTTTGCCAACATTCCCTCTGCCCCCAGGAGAGCGGTCTTGTGGGGGAAAAATCCTTACCAAGACTTGCTTGAAAAGGTACGAGCTTTTTGCCTTGCCTGTGTCTCAGGGTTGTACCACCAAGAGCTGCCCCTCTGAGAATCTTACCACGTTACCTACCCAGGCCTCGATGACAGTAGCACAGTTTTTCAAACTTTTGGGGTCGTTTGGTCCTTTCTTGGGGAATAGTGGGGTGGTCTTCATGCATAAGGGCTTAATAAATGGGTCCCGCCTTAAATAAAGGGTGGAAGCGCAGCCCAGTAGGCCAGAAACACCTCCGTAGAAGTGCTCTATATTACACTTCCATCCCTAATGCTCTCCTTCCGCCAGTTTTTCCCAAGGATTTGGTATATGCTCAGAGCTGAAGTTCACTCTGAGGAGGAGTGGCCATGTGTGCACAGAGGAAGCAGCCCTAGGAGTGGTATAGGCCATCCTGGGGAGTGGGAGTCTGTGGCAGACAGAGGTGGGTGTGAGGTGGCCCCAGTACTGCAGAAGGCATCCATCCACCCCTGTGCCTGAAGGTGACTGTGGCTGCCGTGGTGGCCAGGGTGTCCTCAGGCCCAGCCGCTGTGCATGCCTGTGTCCTGGGCTGGCCCTCCAGCCCTGCTATGCCCAACCCTTCCTTAGAGACCAAGAGGGCAGGTTGCTGGCCTTTGGTTCGGAGTTTTTCTTTGATTGTAGCATAACATTCCTAGTTAACCAGAGCTTTGGAATCTACTGCCTGCTGGCCAGGTTTTGAAATAGGAAGGTATTTTAATGCTGCCATTTATGGAAGGAGGAAGGACGAGGCCTTTCCACACACCTGTTGTCACTTAAGAGATTGGCAGGCCCTCAGTCACTCTCCATTTCTCTGAGGTCTGCGGCTGGGCAGGCCTTCCCTGGAGCTGTCCTGCCCTTGGCACTGCCCACTGGGCTGGGGGTCACTGGGCGCTAGGGATCAGCCCTGGCTTGGCGGTGCTTGGCTGGGCCGGAGTCTCCTGCCCTAGAGCAGAAAGGTGGGGGGTTGCTCTCGTCAGTGGTTCCCAAATGCTGTATGAACATTCTGTGCTAAGCCTGCTAAATAAGATGGGTTAAAACCCAAACGCTGTATATTAATTTGTAATTATGTATAAAGTGAAGCAGTTTTAAACTGTAAAGATTTTTTTCAGTGTTTTCTGGCATTTGCCACAACATACTGGCTTTGTATTTTATTTATCTTCATTTCTAGTTATTGGCTTCTGACTCTTGTAAAGTCCCCTTCAGCCCTTTCCAAAAGAAAATAAATCACCTTTGAAGTCTTGATGGCTGCTTTGATTTGCTTCTGTCCTACAGAGAGCAGACTTTGGACCTAGACCCAAGAACCCGCGGGCACGTGAGTGATGAGCCTGAGCAGGCAGAACTTCCTGTGGTGGTTACATCAGTGCAGTAGAAGCGCATCTGCAGTTGAGTCTGCCAGCACACTTCAGTGGCAGTTTACCTTCTTTGCCAGCTTCTTCCGTCCTATCCTACCCTCCAAAGCAGCTGCCCAAAGTTAACAAATGATCCATTTTTGGTACTGCAAGACACAGCCGCACACACCCGGAGGCTGAAACAGGAAGACAGTGATGAGCTACACAGAGTTCACGGCCAGCCTGAACTACAGAGCAAGACCCTGTCTCAAGAAAATCAAAGCCTGTGTGGGCTCAGCACTGGTTCCGCTGCACAAGCTGCTGAGATGCGCAGTGCTCCTTGCCTGCTCCGTGGGGCTGGTTCCTTCCCCCAGCTGCTGCCTCCCGAGCTAGGCCCACCAAATCCGCAGAGTGGCCATCAGATCACCCAGACGCTAGGCAGCAGGGCCCTAGAGACAGCCCTGCCTGCTACCAAGTCTCCACATTTTGCATGTGTGCACAAGTGCGTGCATTTCTTCACAGTAGCTCTTGTAGCCCTGGCAATAGCCTACTCCCTTAGAGCTGAGAACAGTGGTCCCTTGTCACAGCTCCCGCCAGCTCTTGCCTCCCCTGCCCTATGGAGCAGCCCGGCCCTCCCACCCAGATGCCCTGGGCTAGGGGAAGAACAGTTCCCAGGGCCTCCTCCCTTTGTGCCTGCACTGGTTCTGAGCCACAGGGGCTCTGTCTGGGAGGTGGGACAGTGCCATTCTTCTCTTATGAAAGCTCAGCAGAGGCACAAAACCCAGAGGGCTCAAGAATCCTGAACCTTTGGTGGGGTTGGGGGTTAAATCTTTTCTGACTTCCGTAAAGCTGGGCTGGGGCCTCTGTGCTGGGCAAACCTGCCCATTTGAAAATGGCTGTGTTCCAGGCATAGTGGTGCAGGCCTGGAACTGCAGCTACTTGGGAAGCTGAAGCAGGAGGATCATAAGTTTGCACCCACCCTGGGCAACTTAGTAAGACCTTGTCTCAAAAAATACAAAAGGGCTAGGGATGTCACTGGGTGGTGGAGTGCCCTGGCTCCACCCCCAGTACCATGCAAAGAAAATGACCGTGTGCTGGAAAGCCCCATCTGTTCAGAGGGAGAGCCGTGTCTCCAGGAGATCCGCAGCGAAGGCTGCCTGGAGAGATCAGTGCCTGAAGTGATGCCAGGGAGAGAAACTCCCAACTGCCAGATGTCCAAAAGGCTTTGTGTTCTCTAAAATGCAGTGGATTCTAGGCACAGAAGTTAAGAATAGGAAAAACCTCTTGAGAGAAAGAAAGGTGTCTTAGGACAGAAAGGGGCCTGGGAAGTGGGCTGCCTGCCAACCCGCTTCTCAAGGGTGTTTACTGAGCAAAGCCGGGAGGCGAGCGGGCTGAACGTGGGGCACAGCTGTAGTCAGCTAGGAAGATTACAAGTGCAGTCACTTAGGTAATATCCAGTGGGAAGTAGTAGGTGGGACAGAACTATGGTGACCCAGTAAGATCTTAAGTATAATCATAATACTGACTAAGTGGGAATCAAATGGGGAAACAAGGCACGCTGGACAAGGCTTTCCTGGAAGAGGTGGGTTAAGAAGGCTGGCCCCACCCAAGGGTATCACTCACTGCTGCGGGTCCCTAGCAGAGCGGGGGTAAGCAATGCCTCTTCCTGAAGCCTGGCCTTCTGCAAACGCCCTCCAGCATCAGTTGTCTTCTGCACTGATCGATCGATCTCTCTCTCTCTCTCTCTCTCTCTCTCTCTCTCTCTCTCTCTCTCTCGCCCAACCCTGTCTGACTGCCTACACTATTTCTGCCTAACATGGCTGTCTGTATTAAAAATACACAAATTAGACCAAGAGACACAAGGCCACCAGGGAAAAGATTGCAGAGGACAGTGACACAGCCTGTGGTCTTGGGCTGCTCTGGAAGTAGCCACAGGAGCAAAGCAAGGCGTGGAGCTGTCCGGGAGTAGAGCCCAGGTTCCCACTCCTTTCCTAGTGTCACACCCCACCCTTGTTGTGCCTGAGACTAGCAGGAAGTTAAGAAGGGGGCTTGAGGGCAGTGGCCTGTGCCCGCCCTCTGCATATGGTAATCACTTGTTCCACCCCAGCATGTGTGGGCTTCTCCTGTCAGGCCCTTTAGGCACCTTTCCTTCCTCCCATGAAACTGGCCACCGGGGAGCCTTGGGACGAGATGGGGCCTGGGCTCCTGCAGCCAGCTGATGGCAGGGCCAGCTTTGCTCTCCCAGCCTGCTGCCTCCTCCTGAGTCCCTCCCACATCCCATCTCAGGCCAGCTGTGGAGTCATATGTGGGCAGTCCCTTGGGCAACTTCAGGTGTCCCCAGCTTGTCTTGGTCCTTGTGGTCCAGAGGCGGCCACTGATCACCTGAAACAGTGCTGTTTGACCCAAATGTGCCTGGTGGTGGAGAACTTGGGAGAGGGCCAGGCTGGCACCCAGAGGGCTGACAGGATGGGATCCCCAAAGTGGGCAGCAGGAGGGCACAGACCACACAGAGGCCGAGCTCCAGCTCAGTCCTGCCTTTCCCATCTGCTGCCCTGGGACAACCTTACGTCTCCTGTCCTTTCAAAGGAGACCACCACAGGCAGCCTGGGGGAGTGGTGCAGGCTCAGCACAGCCTGTTGGAGCAGCTGTCACAGCAGTGCACCCTGGATCCATGTCTATGCCTCGGGAGCCCCTCGAGGGTAGAGTGGGCCTTCTCTGTCTACCCAGCAGCACCCACATCAGCACCAGGCATGGGCAGACAGCGCCTCTTGGCCAACACACAGGCAGGTTCAGATTAAGCCTCCCTTTTGCCCTTGCCTGGCTCAGCTTCTCTGTTACTTCTGCAAAGCATCTGGGGTGGCACAGCCCTCACTATTCCTGTTCCTGGGCCTGGGCTCACCTCAAGGCTGTAGTAGAGCTGCGCCTCCCCCCTGCCCCATCCCACATAAGGCTGGGGACAAAGGATAGGCAGGACTGTATCACCACCCTCGGAATGGCGGGGGTCACCAGCAGGCCCAGGCCCCATGCAACGTCCAGTTGGAGGGCCCATCCTGCAGCAGGGCCTTGGAGCAACCCCGCATCTTCCAACTGAAAGCTGATCAGCACTCTGAGGCCAGGACGAACAGAAAGCCTAAGGACTCTCACTGTCCCTGGCCGGGATGAAGGGGCCCTGCCTCAGGAGGCAGCTGGAGGAGCTGAAGTTCCCCTGCACACCACTGTGCTCAAGGCAGCATAGCATGCTCAGCCTGAGTTACAAGGTCGTCATCAGTGTTATGGGGACAACACAAAGCCCTGACACAGAGAGAGAAAATAGTTAAGGCCTGCTACATCCTGAGAAACATACTATGCTTACCTGCCAGGGAAGCACTTTCTCTGATTTCAGGGAGCTCATAGTCTCATTTCTCTGGGTCAAAGAAAGTGTCAGTGTTTTGTCTGCCCATAGGGTGCTCAGGCTGCAGGGTGCATGCGTGCATGCCTGCAGGGGAGCGGCACTTGCTGGGGACCACCGGGAGCCTGCCACCCCAGACTGCTAGGTCAGCACCCTGAAGGGAGCCAGGAAAGCAAGCAGGAGAGATGCAGGTGGAGTGCTGCCTGGGAGAAGCGCCCTTGCCAGGAGTCTGCTCCCCAGCACAGGACACCCTAAGGTGCTCTGGCTGCTGGCATGGGGCGGGATTAGCCTGTCTGCACAGGCACCGCGATGATGACAGCACTGTTCTGTATGAGACCTCATCCCTGAGCTGCTGCTGGCTGGCCGGGAACATGTCATGCCCACAAAATAGAGGCTAAACGAGAGCAGTGGCATCAGCCTGGGCACCTGGTGGCGCTGTGGCCCCCCGCTGCACCCAAGGAAGCCACACGGGAGCCTTTCAGGTGGCTCCAACCTGCCGCAGCTGCAGCTGAGCACCAGGCTGGGTGAGTTGACCTCACACCAACTTCCATTTTGCAGCTGAGGTGCCCTCCTGCTCCCCCCGCCCACAAGTGCAGCCAGCTCTGGCCGAAGCCTGCCAGGCTTTGCATGCCCAGGCTTCAGGCCTGCAGGATGGTGCCCCTCTCCTCCCGGCCCAGGGGCCTCAGAGGCTGCCAAGCAGCAGGGTAACATGAAGAAGACACAGAGAAGCAGGGCCCAAGAGGGGCGCAGCTGGGTGCCAGGGGCCATCAGGGGCAGAGCCGGTGCCAGGCAGCAAAGACCCAGGTCTCTGCACATCGCAGATTCCAGTGCTGACCTCTTGCCAGTGTCCCTTGAGGATTCTGGGTGTCCCCTCCTGCCCTGCCATCATGGTGGGAAGTACTGACATTCATTTCTAAAACAGTTTTAAACACCTCTAATCCCATTGCCAGGAATAAATGTCCATTAACATTCCATGAAGATGCCCAGAGTTTCCTGTGTGCAGTTTTTAAGTAAAATGATAGTCATGCACTATATATCTGACAGTCTTCATAGCTTCTTAATGAACACTGGGTGCATAATACTCCATGGATAAATCATTGCTGGGAACTTAGGTGTTCAGGAGCTCCCAACTTTCACTCTGATGACCCTGCCACCATCCTGCAAACAGTGAGGAGGGAGAGAGGGAACCGAGGGGCCCCTCCAGGCTGAGCCCCTTGGACTCTGCGCCTGGCACCTGCAACTTAAAAGGAGGCCTTTATTTTGCCTTCCATTTTGTGAAGATTTCAGTCCACTTCAGCTGGCTCCAGGTCTAAAGCTGGTGTCCAGGACGGAGTGTGGTGAGGAGGAGCCTGGGAGGAGCCAAACTCCAGGCCACGCCCCCAGGCCCACCCCACCCCACCGCCTAACGCTGATCAGCCCTAAGCCCCATAATCCAATCACTTTCCAAAAACTTCTCATGTAAGTGCATGAGCCTCTCGGGGAGCATCTGGATGGAGACTCTAACGGGACCTTTTCAATTTTTATTT